ACACTCTGGATGAACACACTGCATTACAAGCCTTGATTGACTTGAAATTTGCATATTGTATCTGCAATAGTGGAAGATGTGAAATTTGTTTATTATGCCTTGGAAATCCTGTCCAGTATTAAAGCGTTGAAAAAAAAAGTGTTTTAAGGGTGTAAATAAGTATATCTTGATAAAAAAGATTACCAATTTTCGCGTCAATGTAATTTATGGTGGATTAAAATTGGATGACTTATTATGGTAAGTTATAAGTTAGTTAGGTAGGTTCAATGTTAGTTGCGGTTGCGTTAATTCATCCTTTTCTTCATTCGCACTAACAATGAGGAAGTCACCTTCATCCTCATTAAAATGATCAAAACTTTTGGACGGAAAACCTACAATGTATTGGACAATCCAAGTGTGAGTCTAAGTCCCACATTGAGTAAAAATGAGAAAGTTAAACAATATAAAGAAGAAAGACTCATAACCCAATGCTTTAAACTTTTAGATTAAAGGTGATGTCAATTCTTTATGTGGGTTGAACTCATGTCTTATTGACGTTGTTTCTCCCTGGTGAATATCCTTCCTTAAAAGATCCAATAGTGGTATAAAAGATCCAATAGTAGTATCAAAGCCTACGATTTTTCCTGATAGTGGGTCAGGTAAGCATGTCCCATTATAATGAAGTCATCAGTGAACTCGATGAGATGTACTAATGTGATGAGACTCACACTTGAGGGGAAGATTGTTGGGTTATCCAAGTATGAGCCTAAGTCCCACATTGAGTAAGAATGAGAAAGTTTAGCAACATAGAAGGAAGAAAGACTCATAACTCAATGTCTTAAGATTTTTGGTTGATAGTGATGTAAATCCCTTATATGAGTTCGACTCATGTTTCATTGGTATTGTTTCTTCCCAGTAAATCCCTCCTTAAAAGACCAAACACAGTAGTATATTCTTCCTTGGTTTGGTTGGATGAGTTGGTGAGGTTGACTAGGTGAAAAGTTTTGTATATGTTTCCATATATGATTCCCGAGAACCATAATGTTAAGGATTATTTAGTGGGTTGTATGATAATGAAAGATGGTTAAAAAAAATTCAAGTTTAGGATGATATAAAGGTAAGGAGAGGGATAATGAGATGTCAGGGTGAGATGAATGAGATTGAAATGAAACGAATAACTCTATTAATTGATAATACTTTAGATTTGTAAATATTGAACATTACATTGATATTTTCATCATTGATTAACTCAATAAAGATGTACTTGTATATTTTTTATCGATTATCAATGGGTAGCGATAATGAATGATGGTCAACCTTTAAAACTCACTCACATGTACTCTGTTTTGCATGCAAAATGAGTGAATTAAGAGGTTAGGGCAAACCTATTAGTAAAGATGCCCTTTGAAAGACCCATATACTGAGGCAATGATGTGTCATAACCACCAAATTTAGTATGGTTAAGTCATTACCACTTAATTTAGTACTACCAAGCCATAATGTGACACACTATGTGATGTACATGGACAAAGGGAATTGACAAGCTAGGAACACCCTATTTTTTTAAGATTTCCTTTTATGGATCCATGGTTCAAGGCAATGACATGACATATGCATGTCATAAAACTTATCTACACTTTGTTGTGTATGTGGACCGAATGAATTGTTAGGTTAAGGACAATTTGTCAGTCATGATACCCTATGACAAATCCATAAATTAAGGTGATAATGTGACATACATGTGTTCAAAAACTCATTCAATCTTTATTGTATATGCAAACCTAATGAGTTAACAAGTCTGAGTCACCTTGTTAGTCAATATGCTATGTGACAGACCCATATACTGAGACAATGTTGTGACAAATGTATTTCAAAATTATATACATGATGTGGACCAAGTGAGTAAGTTAATAGATCAAGGATAACTTAGTAATCAAGATGTTCACATACCAGTCTATAGATTGAAGCCATGATGTGACACATGTGTTATAAATTTCACCTATACTTTGTTGTGTATTACTAATTAGATTAACGATTAAGTAGTTAAAATATATTAACTGAAAAAATAAAGAATAATCCCTATAATAATTTTATGATAAAGAATAATCCTAAAATAATTTTATAATAAAAAATATTTTAATATTATGAATAATATTATTAATAACATTAAATATTTTTAATAAAAACATTTTATTTTTTTAATATTTAAATAACGTTACATCATCCATTAACTAAAAATTATAAATATAAACTTTAAAATAACTGCACACATAAATATTATAATTAATATTTTAATACATTATATTTTTAATATTAAATTATTAAATGCATTCATAATTTATTATTTAATGAATTATTTAAAGTTATTTATTATTTTAACTTTTATATATAAGATGTTTTGTAGGAATTATTAAAGTTGAAGTAATGAAAAAAATATTGATTTAAAAATTGAAAATAAACTGAAATTGATATTTTTTTAATGTTTTGTTTTCAATTAAATAGTTTTATTTAGATTTCAAATGTAAAATAATAATTAAAAAAACAACATATAATATTAAAAGATAAAATTATATATAAAATTGTAAATATAGATTTAATTAATAAATGATAAATATATCATATAAAAATTATTTTATAATATAAGCATTACAATGTATTTATATTTATTAAAATAAATATATTTTTATTCTAATTTATAACTATTTGATTATGTATTTTATTTATAAGTATAACATAAAATCGAAATTCTAATATTTTTTTATCTACTAATTTTTATTATAAAGTATTTAATAATTTATTATAACAAAGAATAATAAATTTATAACAAAAAATTAGTAAAATATTTGTTTGATTTTATTAATTTTGTATATTATATCTCGTTGAAAGTCTCACATCGCCTACCTCATATCATTTGGTATGATTTAAATACATGTTAGAGCTACTCCACATATTACCAATTGGTTTTATGTTGGAACCTTAACAATATCAAATAAAAAAACACTGAATTACATTTCATTTTACAAAACTATTTAAAGAACATTATAACCAAACATGACCTAGTATTTGATAATTTTTCACATATAAATGAAAGGTAGTTTGTAATGTGTAAATTGTTATATAATGAAGTGTTGAACATTCTTACTCTTAAGTTCTTATTACTAGGCACATTTTTGGAAAAAAAAATATTTCTTATAAGGTAGTATTTATATTTTATATTAATGAATAATTAGAATTACTTTAAAAAATTTATTGAATTATTTTGATATATGATTGATATTTTTTAAAGTGTTCTCCCACTATTTAAAAATATATGAGATTTAAAATTGGATTATAATTAAGATAAACATTAATTTTTATTATTTATGATAAATTTATTAGTCTTTTTTATTAATATTTTATTATTTTCTTTTTAAAGTTATTTTTAATGACTATTTAATTAATGTTTATTAATTTTACATTTATGATTTTAATATGAGAATTAAATAAATATATTTAATATTGTAATTAATGTATTTATATGTTTAATATTTAATCATTCAATGTGCTTTTAGAATTTAATGAAAACCTTTGTTTTATTATTTAATGGTCTTTTGAAAAGTCTTTATAATTAATACAATCTACCAAATTTAAAATAGTTGATTATTTATTAGTAAAAAACTTCAACTCTCCAATAAAATGGATAATACTTATGATGAATATATTTTGTATTTAAAAAAACTTTAAATTTTAATGTTAATTCGAATAAAAAGTCAATATATTTTTAATTTTTGTATTATAACATATAAATGTATATTGTTGGGATGTGGTAAGAGATAAAATTTTATAAATCAAACCATTTTTTATGAATAAAAAACTACAAGTATATTAAGCTTTTATAAAAAATATTTAAATATTTTAAACTACCAAAAAATATATTTTAACTTTTAAATATTATATCATCAATAACAATATTCAAACTTATATTTTTAAAATATATTAATATAATGTAATTATTTATAATTAAATTTTTATTTTATAAGGTGTTTAATCAATTGTATTTTTTATTAGTTTTATATATAATAAACTGTGGTAAGTTTTAAATATATGTATACTCTATATCTCTAATTTTATTATTTTAAAAATTTTAAACAAGACATTTTATAACTTAATTTAATTGTCATTAATATAGTTCATTGTTGTTTGCATAATTTTTTTAACTCTACAATTTTGTCTAATATTAATGACTTTTATTAAATTTAATTATAAGATTTTTCTAATAATTTTGTATTCATCTACATGTTCATATTTTAAACAATATTTTATAAAATATATCATGTTGTTTATTTAATAATTTAATTAAAATACACTATCAGTGCAAATGTTTTTTTATGCTTTATTGAAATGCTATGTAATAAGATTATTAAATTTTACCAGCATTTTTTGACAATTATATTAAAAATCAAATAATAAATTAATCAATGAGGATAAATTATATAATAAATTATATTTTTTCATCCTAGGTAGTTAATTCTAAAACAAGATTATTTACATAAATAAGATCAACTTAAAATAATCTTATTTCATTAGGATTAGGATGGATTCTTTGAAGATGAATTTTATATTCTAACAGGAAAAAAAAACAGCTTTACATTGAAATATTTAACTTTTTTTTCATAGTTTTTTTTTAACATATTTATTTGATTATTATTGTATTATTTATTTCATATATTCATGAATCCTTCCAATTTCCAAGACCCTCTTATTAAGTCTTCAGTTCAACAGCTATAAAGGTTTCAACAATTGCAAATGTTTTTCTCAATTTGACACTCAATTTACCTTGAAATTACCCACTTGTCAGACTTGCATGTCTTTTTCTCTTTCTTAATGAAAGTCTCATAAATTTTTATACTTCCAATATCTTAACAGGAAGCATTTTCTAGGAGAATTGGAAGAACCCTACTGTCAGTTTGCTCCAAAAATTAAAACTTTTAAATATTGTCGGAAAATTCCGCCGTTGTTGTTGTTGAGTCTGGAAGCCAGTCATGCATGAGGTATTGGAGATAAGCTCGGATGAAGAAGAGGGTTTGGAGGAGAGTCTCACTGTAACTGATCTCAACTTGATAAGAGAGATGTTGTTCTCTTCTGATGAAGAGTCCGATGACTCTGTCCAGGTTGTTGAAATCTGTGAGAACAAGCCCGAGTTGAAGTCAAAGTCTTCAACTTTGGCCGTGGAAGATTTGGGTGGCGATGATGACGTCGATGATGATTGCGTGGTCCTGGAGGGTGACCCTGAGAACGGTGTCGCATCTGTGGAAGAGGAAGCAAATGGGTCAGATGAGTTGCTTGTAATTGGGGAAAAGGGTCAGGTATAGGTGTCCTTTATTTTCCGTTTGTGACAGTGCTCATGAGATTATTTTATAAAATTGGAAGCTCTGAGTTGTTATTGGAAACTGGGTGAATTGATGAGAGTGTACTTTGCCTTGGTATGTGATTACTTGAATTTTGTGATTAACTAGGCTTTGGTTGAAGACTAGATATGAGTTTTGTTCAAGGTTTGATCTATCGGTTTGTATGTCTGCGGTTTCTTCGAGTTCATGGATAACTCAGGAAATGTTATCGTGGATATGATTAATTAGGTCTTGTTCAAGGTTTTATTTATCGGTTGTTGTATGCTGCCACAGTTATGGTTGTGGACTTTCCAAAAACCATACCTGGACTTGCTGAAATTGCAGACTCAAAGGATTCTGACATGTGTTTGTGTAGATTCAAACATGTTAATCGTAGATTGAATGTTGCATTTCAAAACAATCATATCCTGTGGTTTTATGGGGGTAGTGTTAGTGAGGGCAAACTGTATATTGATAATGCCATTTTGTGTAAGTTAGGTTAGATCCTTTGGTACATCATTGCCTGGGTTAGGCTCATGTCAAATTCTTGCAGGGCATAAAATTGCCTTAAGAGGAAAGTGACGATGGCCAAAGATATGAGGAAGTTGTTCGAGTTTGGGCAATGCATCTTGCCTATTGCATCTGAGAAAACACTAAATGAATTCATATTCGAGGATAATGACATTATAATTGCTGATCTTGTTTGAGACCCCAAGGTACAGTTGTTAAATGTTGCTAGCTCTATCCAGAGTACACGCAAAGCATAGTATTAGAGGATTTCCATCATTATACCTTGTGTCTCAACGTGATGGTTACTGGTGATTTACCTACATCTAAACTTTAGGCCAAGTTCCAAAATTTTTAAGAAGTACAATTTAGGGTAATGCCAAGTTCCAACTAAGATTTATTCGTTACTTGTGTGTTTAGGCATTTGTTTCAAAAAATCTTACTATTTGCTATTTGTTTATTTTATTACATGATTATCTGCGTGAAGTTTAGGGTGTTAATTAACTATACTGCTTTCATGCTTGTCTTTGGTCATGGAAGAAGACGTAGAGCTATAGCATTTCAAATGCTGACTTTTATTCTGGCTTGCAGATTGCATGCCGAGACTATCCTCATCCAAGACATCTTTGTGCTAAATTTCCATTCTCTTCCACCCCCCACGAGAAGCACTGTAGCCAGGTAAAAAAACTAAGATCATGACTTAAAATTTAGAATTATTTCTTTTGCTGGTTTAACTATCATGGTTTCTTATCTTTTATTTGCTATTCAATATTATTCCTGAACCACTATTTTATGGTTTTGATCATATGCAGTGCCACTGTTATGTATGTGACTCCCCAGCTCCATGTCTCAAATGGGGCACCGGCGGTTTGAGTTTAGATCATTGTCACGCAAGTGATAAAACTGAGCTGTGGAAAACTCAGAGAAAAAATTTCAAGCTGGGCTTGAGTTCCCCATTACCAGCTTCAACTAATTTTGGTACATCACTCAGACCAGGTCATCTCCAGCGTAATGAATTTCTGCCTCCTGGTGTTATTAACTTGTCTCCAAATTCTGTATTACCGAATCAAGCATCCAGATCCACTGCAATGTGTGCTATCTCCTCATTCAATTCCGTACCTCAAACCCAGGCCTCTCCACCAACAATATCACATTTTGCCCCTACTCCATTACCGAATTTCAGTGTGCTGAATCAAGTTTCTAGGTCTACTAACACCCCTATAATGTCCCCAGCCACCAACATAACAATGCCAAATGGTGCAAACCATGGCAGGCTTTTGGTGAGAAGCAGGTTCCAGCCTCCATCTGTACCAAGGTCACTGCTGGGTGTGTCTTGTCACACCATCCAAAAGGGGCGAGGAAATGGAGGAAGCAGTTTAAAATCCCAGTTCCTTCGTCCTCATATGGTGTCCAGGGGTGTAGGCAGTGCTGGGAACATCCTGAGGGCAAATAACTCTCCTCATAGATCATCTGGCTTCAGCAACAGTGTTAACATGACACAACATCACAATTATGGCACTTCAGCAGGATTCTCAAATTACGGAGGTTGCAATGAGCCGTATGATGCATGTCCCCCCACAAATGTATCATTTTACTCACAGCTTAGCTCTCAACCGTCCAGCTTGAGTTGCGTTAACCAGCAGACTGTGGCTTCTGAAACACAAGCATATACTCAACCATTGCTCCTCTTAAATAGTAGCCAGGGCTTCCATCAAACTTCTATCCAAGTAAATAGTGCTCCTTCAGGTTATGTGGCACACCTGAATAGCAGTCAGCATGGAAATGAGCTTCAAATCCAAAGTCAAAATAGAAATGTCAGTAGAAATAATACTACACAATGTGGAGTTGCAAGTCAAGATACTTGCCAACCACAACTACAGCTGCAACCATATGCCAGTAGAAATACTGCACAATGTGGAATTGCAAGTCAAGCTACTTGCCAACCACAACCACATGAAGAGTCTCCAAGGGTAACTGCTGGAAAATTTTCAGCATTTGACTCAAGTTGGACAGACAATACTGGTCAAAGCATTCTACAAACTTCAGGATCTGTAGGACAAACACCCAATGTCAAGGAATCCATTGAACCCGTGTTTGAATGCTCACAATCACCCAGTTCATTTACTAATTTTGATGACTGGCTTTTGGATATAGACCCGTTTCCAGTGTTAACAGATTCGGTTTTGGAAACTGATCTGAATGTACCATCTCCAGATCTTTATTCAGCTGATATGGGTTTATTTTATCTTGATGGTAATTGAGTTAAAGTGAGTTGCCAATACCTCCAACCCACACTACAGTCTCAATGGAAGTATTTAGAATTGGTTGACAGTTGAATGATGCTATAGTGACTACTCAATTTTATGCCTCTATTTATAACTTCCTCTGCTCTGAGTAATATATGGAATCTTTCGTATTGAGGCTCATCTACTTCTGTTAAGAGCTGACCATTTTAGGTGTTCCCTAATCAGTAATATCCATAGTTGATGTATAGACAGCGTAGGCTAGGGTGGTTTTGCTATATTTTGTTGAATGTAGAGGAGAAAGTATTAGGATATTTTCCTGGCATGTAGCCTTGGAGTAATGGATGCGAAAACAATATCAAAAGTGAGTAAAGCTGACAATTCAGAAGTTGTGTTCTATATCAGATATACCTTTTCCTTTTCAATTACCTTGACCAAACTGATGTTTTTTGTGAAAATTGTGTTTATCATCATTTTCAAAGGTAATAATAGTGCTGTTTAAATGAAAATATTCATGCAGACTTGATTTATGGAAAGACATGACATATGCCCAGCACGTCGATCGGGATAGATCACGTTTATTTGCTATTAATAGTCATAGATGGTTGAAAAATTTTAGTACCTCTTCAGGATATTTACAATATGTACTTTCATGAGCATGTAATAATACCGAGCCATATCATTATGTAGATGATTTTCTGAAATATTTCAGTGCATTTTATCTTACCAATCTCATGTAACAAGCTTTTTATATAACATAGTAATGCGTAGTTTCTGGCCTGTTCTAAAATCCAAAGAAACAGTAAAAAGAGTTTAAGCTTTGCTTGTGGCTGGTGAGAGCCAGTAGTCGAAGAAAGTGAAAATGGTGCTCACATGGAAAAGGGTTCTCAGCCCTTAACTGAAAGCAAGAAGGAAGATCTTGAAGCACTTCTGCACTCAGAGTCTGCTGCGTTTGAATTCAAGGTATGTTTAGTGCTTTGGGAATATTAAAAGAAATTATCTTTATCTGTTTGGCTTTTGATTTCCCTTAACCCTTCAAATTAATACGTGAAGATGGGTGAGAAATCTTACTCTAATACAATTGATTGCTAAGGGCAATCGACCAGAAAACCTTGAGTGAGACTTCTATTCTTTTATCACATAGAGCCCATGTGAATTTGCTGCTAAGAAATCTTGGCCATGTTCACGCAGATTCTCACTAGGCCCTCAAGTTGCTCCCTTATAATATGGAGGTGTTTGTGTTGGAGGTTTGTGATTGTTTCTTGTAATTACAATTGCTTGGTTTGATGTCTCAAATTGATGCGAACTGTGATTAGGAAATTATAGAGCTGCCAAAGCTTCTCTTTCAGTAAAATATGTTGGCTGAAACAAGATAGCATTGTCTGAGGGGTCTTCAGTTGGACTCCAACTTGAAGATGCTTGATCAACAGATTGATCTGAAGATATCAGAGATGGAAAAACATGATACTGAGTCTCCAAGGCTGTTGCAGAGACAAAGGTATAGAGTTTAAACTGTTTTCATATGTGTTTGACATCCAAGGTTTTAAATAGTAGTGGTGATTTTGTTGCATTCCTTGATGTTGTTGGAAATTGTGGACTAATGCTGCCACAATTGCAGAAACTCCAGAAACCTCAATGTTGCGGCCTTCACAATCGCAGACCATATTCTTAGACCACGTTGATATATCCATTGATTATATGGAGGTTCATGTCCTTGTTTAAACAAAACCCAGTGACTTTATCGAGTACTCTTGCAACAGTGACATGTTTATGGTCTCTTTGATATGATATCTTTTTCTGTGAAGTGGTTTACATGAAAGTGAGCTTTTCAGAATATGAATGTGCTACATCCACCATTATCTATCAAACATTTTTGTACAAGATCCGCCATTGCCATAGAATGTTGAAACAACTACAAACGTAAGTTCATTGAAAGTGTTAGAAAGTGTTTTTCTTGATTTGAATATTTCTCATAAAGCAAAAGAGACAATGATTTTTTTTGGGTTATCAAAATTCAAAATTTAACCAAAATCAAATAAATAATATATATTGAAAAAAAGAGGATCACCTACTTTGTCCAAAAAAAGTCGATAAATTGACAAAAAATTAAAAGAAAGTTCACTTATGTTGTTCAACATGGATGGATAAACAATATGAACAATTAAAAAAAGAAGACAAATTGGTTAAAAATATTTAATTTTTATTAACTAATCACAACTAAAACATTTAGTGTCTGGTCAAAATTACAATAAAAAACAAGTTTTCTCAAAAAATAAGTAATTATTTAAGAAAAGAGATTGTTGAGAGAATAATTACTTTTTCAACCTCTTTAATATAAAATATAGAGTAAGAAAAGAAGAGACGCGAAAGTTCTCAAAGAAATGATCACCTACCACCTTTATTTTCTAAGCAATTTTTTTCTCATTTTCTAACCAATTTGTATATATGAGCAAACTTGTATAAGTTGAAAAAACTTACTAAATTTATTTTCTTATTTAGCTGAAAGTGACTTATGGTTAAAAAAAATATTCATGTGATTAAACTTGTGGATAATTTTGATAAGAAAAATACTTTTTTAAATAAGTACCCGTTTAAGGGATTGAGATGAATCGATATAATTTTTTAATCATTTTTATTTTGCCTAATTGACTTCGAACTATGTTTTTTTTTTTAAATCTTATGTTTTTTTTTTATTAAATCCTTCTGAGTCTAATTATCTTTTAATTTTTTTTTTGCTTTACACTTTTTGATTAATAATAATTTTATAATTCAAGTTTTGTAACATATATTTAAAATATTTTATTTGAATTAGATACGCATACATATCTTATTTATATTTTAATTTTTTAATGTGAAGTGAAATGTTTTGAACAAGAAATATATGAAACCTACCATTTTAAGTATTTACTAAACGACACCGGTTTTGGTGTTTGTTTCTGTAAAAAATAAAAACCTAATTAGTTCCTTCTCTCTGTCGCCGTTGTGACTCATTGACTCTCTTCAACGCCGCCGTCACCGTTGCGTCGTCGATCCCCTTAGGTTCCGATTCCGGTACGCAACGTCACCGTCGCTCATCGCTGCACCGCTATTCGGTCTTTTTCGGTGTCTCTCTCCTCCGTTCACAGAATCGTCGAATCGTATAGCGTCTCCGTCACTCCCTCTTCGTGCGTAAGTCCTTAATTATGGCTCAGTGTGAATTTAGTATGACTGACTAACCACAAATTTTATAACCGTATTAATTTAATATCAAAATTCAAAGGTTTGTTGATTCTGTCATAATTCTTAACCTAGAGCACTAGTGCAAACGTGAACCTGAATCGTGTACTCGGAGATGTCTGTAAGAACTCTGAATACACTTTTTGCAAAATAAAGGGGCTTTTCAAAATGGCGCTGTAATTACTCCTTAACGCATTTTACACCTTTCTAGACTCATTATATCAAAACGTATTTCTGAAATTGAAGGGTTATTTTAATCAAGGCTAATTTGCCCCGGTGGTTTGTGGCATTTTGGTGCAGCAATGGCTGGAAAACAGGTTGGCGGCGAGGGCTTGTCGGTAAACATTGCCGGAATGTCGAAGAACCAGCTCTACGATATCATGTCTCAGATGAAGGTGCATATATATTTATATATTTCTTGCTCATCTTCTTCTTCACTCATAATGAAGAACAACACGCTAACCATTTTGTTTGTTGTCGTCCCGCAGAGTCTGATCGAACAGAACCAGCAACAGGCCAGGCAGATCCTAATCCAAAACCCTATGTTAACCAAAGCGCTATTCCAGGTTCTTTGGTGTTTTGATTCTCTGATTTTATTTTCTCTTTTGTTGCTTCACTGAATGCTTCGAATTACACACATGTACCAGGGCATGTGTGTATGTGATACTTGTTAGTTACAGTCACGTAGGTATTTTCTGGTGATTACATATAAACGAGCTATTTTGTTAATAATGCTTTGTCATAAAATAAAACCCTAAACCATTTTAACATGTTACCCAAAAACCCTAAACCATTTAATTTTGTAATGAGTTATTGTTTCGTATAAGGAAACAGTTCTCACTCGTGGTTAGTGGGCACCATGGCAAACTAGTGTTTCAATTGTTGATGCCCTTTACAATGTATTGACAGTGTTTGAGGTGATGAAGATTTATTTGTTTCTTTGAATACATTAAGATTCTCGTAGAGGTCCCTGATGTTTCATGTATGTGTATGGGTGTATCTGTTTCTTGGACTTCCTTTAAATTATATTCGGAACAATCAGATTTGTATGTTTTTCTAAGAACTATTCTAGTCTTGTTCTTATTATAGCATTAATATCTGCAAGTGTATGAGAATAAACTTATTCTTTAATGAATACAGTAGTCTTGTCTTTGATCTGGTATTGTTGTACCATAGCCATAGTATTCAATTGAGGTTCTTCTGTCATAGCGGCACTCTTTGACATTTTTGTCCATTGTGTTTGTTTTATCAGGCACAAATTATGCTTGGAATGGTGCAAGCGCCTCAAGTGGTATGCACTTGCTTTCTTTATATGTCTTCACTACCATCCTTCGATAGAATTTTGAATGACAAAAATTGTTTGCTTTTTAGGTTCCAAAAGTCCAGCCAATGGTTTCGCAGAACAATCAGCAGTCAGTGCAACCAACACAACAACCAAATACTCAGCCTGCTCCATCATTGCCTGGGCATGGTGGTGCACAGGATCAAGCAGGTGTATCACAAACACAGATTCCTCTGAGGAAACACCATAATCAACCTTCAGTGCCAGTTTCATCTGGTGTTCCTGCAATGAGTCATCAATCTCAGCCCATAGCTGCACATTCTTTGCCAATACCACAACAGCCTAAAGGACATCTTGCTCCCCAAGTGGCTCTAGCGTCTCTTCCACAATCATCACAACTTCCAAACATACCTCCGCCTTCACTTCATTCATTGTCACAACCTCTTCATCCTACTCAGATACCAACTGCTTCCAGTCAGTTACAGCAACCATTGCAGACACCTGGATTTCCGCATATGCCTCTGCAATCATCAGTTCCACAACAGATTAGACCACCACCTGCAGTGCCAGCCTTCCATCCCCAATATCCCCCTCAAATGAGTGCGAATTTAGGTTTTCAACATGCTGGTGGTTCACACAATCTTTCACAGTCCATGTTTCATGTAAGATGAGTTTTCCAGTTTATGATTCATGATCTAACGGGCTGTTTCATGTAAGTTTAATTGTGTTATTGATGAAATTTTCAGCCAGGTACAAAACCTCCTGCTAGTGTTGGATCCACATTCCCACAGGGGCAGACACAACTTCCTAGTCAAAAATCATCTCAGCCACCTTATCAGGTATACTGAGCTATTACTGATGGTTAAGACTTAAAGACTGTGTGTTGGTACCTTGAATTCTGAGGGAGCAACTAAGCTCTATGGCACCTACATTATTGGTTTTTGTAAGGCTTTCTTGTTACTATTAAAAATTTATGAGTCCTTGTTTCATTGGCTAGTTAATCCTAATTAGTCTGCATTAAAGCTAAGTCTTCTTGTTTTAAATATAGGCCTTCCCCCCTAAGATATTAGTCATGAAGAGCTATCTGCCAGTAGTAATGAATGACACTGTTTCTCGCATGCTTGCTTATAAAGCTTTTACAGCAGAAAATTATATTTGTTTTGGCTACATTTGGGAGTTGTTATTGAGGGGAAATAGAAGGGAAGTTCGTGATTTCTAATAAATATTCTTTAGTTTGTTTTCTACCCTGTTTCTCAGAATTTGTTTTTTTAAAGGTCTAACTATTTTTATATTTGGTTAATCGATTACCATGCTGTGATTTCACCTAAGCATAATCGATTTTGGTGATTTGACTATAAGAAAGTAAATCTATACTTGAAGACCAGTATCCATCATGATAATGTGTCTAATATTTGTGCTTTGTAGTAATTGGTTATTCACGTGCTGAGTGATACTTGCTTGATAGGTTGGTAATATGCCTTTAGGGCCCGATTTTGGCAATCAAGCTGGAAATGCTATGCAAGTAGACAGAGGGTCTTTGATAGCTGGTCCCTCAGATAACCTAGCGCATCTTTCTGCTCCTCCTGGACAACCATATGTAGTTTCTGGTCCAATGGGCGCTGCTAATCAAGCTCTTCGACCTCCTGCGGTAATTATTTTGAATTACTTTTTAGTTTTATAAATATTTCTGCAGTCTATTGATATTCTTTTCTTATGCAGTTGACACCAGAGATGGAGAAGGCTCTGCTTCAACAAGTCATGAGCCTCACACCAGAGCAGATAAATCTCCTGCCTCCAGAGCAAAGAAATCAAGTGCTGCAGCTACAGCAGATGTTGCGTCATTGATGCAATTAACACCATGAAAGTTAGGCAATCATTGATCCTTCTAGTTTGGCAGAGATTATTGTGTCATATATCCGAACGGACTGGCTTCTAAGTTTTGTAGAAATTAATACAAAATCATGTAACAAATTAGAGACCAACTATAGTATTATTTTCTTTTGAAATTGAGCTCCTATTATATATCAGCCTTTAGGAGCTATTTGCAACCATATTCCGTATTTTATTGTTGATTTCACTTGCAATGTTTGCCGATTATCTGTTATCTGTTATGCATGTCTATCTGTATATATACTATAACATGATGGAAGGGTTCATACTTTTCCTACCTCAGATGGTTTGTTAGCGCTAGCGCATATGGACGCAGGGAATTTGGGGTATTGTCATTGACACCCTCAGCATGGGGACATGACTTTTTCTTTCACATTTCTTTGATGTCTCAGCGTTTTAAATCTTGGGTTGGGTGCATCTTGGGCTCAATTTTAGCCTTTTCATAATTATTATATTATTTAACTTTTTAAAAGCACCTTTTCTCTTAAGGATGCAGAGTGACAGATATAACTGGACAAGGGCAGGATAAGTTACGCCTGACTTTAGTTTGATCCGGATAATAAACACCATAGAATGTTAAGTTCTTAAAATGTTTTTGCTGAGCAAGATAGATTTTTTTATTAGTAGTGGTTGGAGCAAATATTAAAGCAAATTGCATAAAAATCTTGTTTTTCATGTATCTTGTCTTTCATGTAAATTGGTCTTTAGTATCTTGTCTGCATGTTTGTTATAATTTTTTTCTTTAAAAATTATTTTGGTGGGTTGAGAAATGAATTACCTTTAGTCTCAATTATTAAATGATATGAGAGACTTATGAAGGTATATTTTAAATATAATTTATCAGTCGATGATTAATGGGTAGGAGAAAATATGAATTTCTAGTCTCAATCTTATAATAACTATTAATGTTTTATTTAAGAATAAGAGTATCATGATCTCATGTTTGTTATGATAACTTTGAATGTGAAAATTATCATAATGATGTTATTTTATAACAAATATCGTGAACTAAAAGCAAAGTCTTGTTATAATCCTATTATTTAGTCTTCGAATGAAAGATTATATTATGATATTACATTTATAAATCTTACAACATTTAAGAATTAAGATTGATAGTAGTTTATATATACTTTTCTTTTTTTAATATATTAAGACATCTTTTAAGAATAAAATCATGATGAATTAAAATTGTAAAATGAACAATACCTCGTCATTAATTGATCATAACTAATATTATTTCAAATATAAATTTCATCTTTTGCATTATTTTTAAAAAATCTAAGAGCATCTATAGATGCTTAAATAAAATATTGGTTTTTTTAACCAACTTTGCATTGGAGAGATTGAATGTGGTATGATAAGTTGTTTAATTTTTTTATAAATATTTTATTAAATAATTTACAAAAATAATAAAATAAATAAATAAATGAAGAGAAAGAAAATGATTTCTTTAAAATTTATTAAAAGAAATTTTATTTAAATAAAATTAATGAAGAATTACTTAAAAATAAATTATGTGATACAACAAATTCATATTTTATATTTGATAAGAACATCTCTAGTAAGATCCATGGAAGATACTCTATAATAAAAAAACAATTCATATAAATTATTCCTAATGTCCTAACTTAAATCATATTAACAGTTAAATAGATTTTAAAATTAAATATCATTTCATTAAAATTTATTATTTTTAGAATGAAAACTGAAATGGTATTTGTAAATACAATTCCAGTTGAATTTAGTTTTAAAAAACCTAAAACAGATTAATTATGCTTTCATGACTTGAAGGTGGTTCTGCTGGAGCCATTTGATGACGATGACCTTCATGGGCATCTACAACTGCAATCAAAACAAAGGGGAAAAAAAATCAGAGTATCCTTTAATACAAGTTTCTTATGACACTTTTCTATAGTATTTTATAAAAACAGGTCAACAGGTTAGCTTGTTGATTCTTAATCATTGAATTAATGAAATAAGTGAGATGAATCAAAATAAAAAGATGAAAACGGTCTAAAGCATTAAAATGAACCAATGTTATTTTTTTTTTAAATGGATCAACTAATCCGTTAAATTTAACCTGTTTTATCATTTTTAATCTTGCGCAAAATTAACAAGAATAATTCAATCATTCAAAATCAACAACCTAAATCAAGTACTTTTGTTCCCATACAAAGTACTTTTGTTTCGAAACACCTCAGATTAATCAGCAAGAGAATAGAACCTAGTCAACATAAACCATGCAAAGGTTAGCTCTAATGTCATTATATATGACTTGTTTTTTCTTCTCCACTTCCATGCTCACATCTACTCATTTTTTACTATAATTTATTTTCTAATGAGTGACACAAAATTAAATTATATTTATGGCAAAAAAAATTAGGTTTAAGTTTTTTCATCTAATTATTTACTTATTTAATTTAATTTTGTTTTATCTAATAATGTGACCTAATACATTTATAGAAAAAAGTATTTAGCTTTAGTTTTTTTTGTCTTTAATTATTTATTTATTTAATTTAATATGGCTTGATTTTAAAATCAATAAGGAGACCCCAATATGATTCTTTTCTGTTACTAAATAAATATTATTATTTTTTATTAATTATCACTATATTATGTTATATAAAAATAAAAATATCAAATAGTTGTTTGTTAACAAATTTTCTATTAATTAGGTACAAAAATAGTTATATTTTTGTATTTTTAAGACTTTTTATCAAATACAGGTTACCCTTAATAAATCTGAACCACAGAATGTTGTAATAACATATCTAACGGTAGATACAAACTAGTTCACCGTAGAGTTCGTCTCCAACTCCAACAGAGAAACTGCAGAAAGAGTTCAGCTTTAAGCTTTGTTTGTGAGTGGTGACAGGCAGTAGCCGAAGAAAGTGAAGATGGCGCTGTGGATGGAAAAGGGTTCGGAGCCCATAACCGAAAGCGAAAAGGCAGACCTTGAAGCCATTGCTGCACTCAAAGAGTCTGCTGCCTTTGAATTCAAGGTATATTAATGATTTGGGAATAATAAAAAACATTCTTTTTCTCTCTTTGGCTTTTGATTTCACTACACCTTTCAAATTCAGGAAAAGGGTAACCAATATGTGAAGATGGGTAAGAAGCATTACTCTGATGCTATTGATTGCTACACAAGGGCAATTGATCAGAAGGCCTTGAGTGACTCTGATACCTCTATTCTTTTTTCAAATAGAGCTCATGTGAATTTGCTGCTAGGAAATCTTAGACGTGCTCTCATAGATTCTCAGGAGGCCCTTAAGTTGTGTCCTTCAAATATAAAGGTATTTGTGTTGGAGGTTTGTGGTTGGTTGGTTGTTTCTTGTAAATGTGATTGCTTGGTTTGATGTCTCAAAGTGATGGCGACTGTGATTAGGCAATTTATAGAGCTTCCAAAGCTTCCCTTTCACTGAATATGTTGGCTGAAGCAACCGAGTATTGTCTGAAGGGTCTTCAGTTGGACCCTAATAACGAAGATTTGAAGAAGCTTGACAGACAGATTGGTCTGAAGATATCAGAGAAGGAAATGCATGAGGCTCAAGTCTCCAAGGCTGCTGCAGAGACAAAGGTATCTTGTTCGAACTTTGAACTGTTTCCTTATGTTTTTAATATCTGTTTTGGATGTATGGAGGTTAATGTCCTTGTTTATTGAACAAAAAAATGCAGGAACTTGTGTCTGCTATAGAGTATAGAGGTTTGAAGATTGGAAAGGCAATGTATCGAGAACTTACTGGATTAAGGAAACCTGTGTTGGATAAAAGTAATATCCTTCATTGGCCTGTTGTTCTTCTGTACGCAGAGGTTATGTCCAGTGACTTCATTGAGGATTTCTGCGAGACTGACATGTTTTCGGTTCACCTTGATATGATATCCTTTTCTGAGAATTGGTTTATAGGCAAGCAATTTTTAATGAATATGAGTGTTACATACATCCTTAGCAATCAAACATATTTGCAGAAGATCAGCCATTGTCATGGGATGTTGAAAACAACTACAGACGTGAATTTATTGAATTATACTATGAGGTAAGCTCTTGTTAAAATTCTTTTGTTGTTTGAATTTGTTTGTTTTTCCTGAATGTAAGTTGTAATGTTGAATTGTACATGGGGCAAGGCCATTTAGTATGTAGTATACTTCAATTGTAAACAGTTCATCTGTATTTTATCTTCCTTGAGGATGGAGTACTGCCGGGCATGCCAAGATTTGTGGTATGGTATTATCTGTTGGGGATTTTTTTAGCACACAAGTTGTGGTTATTTACATGAATGCTCAAGAATGTGTCCTGGATCTAATAAAAATCAAATGTTGCTTCCTTTTGCACATATAGAGCTCAAATTTTATCGACCTGGTTGAATGCTGATCAAAATTGAATGGGAAATTGTAAATGAAAGTAAAAATTTACTTTGGCTACCACTTAATTAAATAATTGTAGTTGTCATAAGGTCAAATTTCAATTCATTTTAACTCTTTGTTGAGTTGTTATCATCACATTCCACTTTTTCTCTTAGAAACATTTTTTGTGTTACTAACTTGGACTACTAACATCAATTTTTGGTAGCATAGTTCTTATTGATGTATTTGTGTTGGATGTTTGGCAATATCAAAACATTTTTTCCTCACCTTTGGTCTTTGTTTTATTAGGCTGGTTCTGGACTTTGTCTATCAAAGGAAAAACTTCATCGTTGTCTATTAGAAGGAACTGCAGCTTCTCACAGTGAAGATGTTGGTGATGAAGAGAAAGATGCAGTTGAGGATTATAAGCAACAAACGGGTATGTTACTTCTGAAGTACTTTTCGTTGTTTGCTATTGATGTCTGGTCTCTTTGTCTGACTCCTTTCCCCTTCTTTAGTGATTTATAATGTGTTAACAAATTGTAAACTGAGTAATTTGGAGGATATAAACAATGAGGAAACTATGTCTTTCCCTAATTTACGGGAACTATTTTTTATGATGTATGATAAAACTTTTTGAACCTGTGTACTCCTTACAATTAAGCCTCAGAAGGTGTTTGGTTTGGATAATAAAGAAATATTTTGGAATTGTTTGAGTTCAAACTGGCTTTGTAAAGTATGTGAATTTGATACTTGCCTTGTTTTAAATTTGATTTTGAACAGTTCAATATCTTTGGTAAATTTTGGTTAATCCCTTTGTTAAAATTCAGATAAATTATAGAAAAAGAAAAGGCGACAATGAAGAAACTTTCATTTCAAAGCTCAAGTGATTATAATATATAACACTTTTAAAAAAATGCATTATACTTAGCAAGGCAAATGTCTGCATAATGTACATAATACACTTCATTTGTTTTTCCAAATTTATGTCTTCTATTTGACTTCTCTAGAGTAAGGATTCGCTATCCAGAGTAAAGCCAGGAGTTCTAACTATTGATTGAAAAATCAACTGGTAAAATTACGATTAATTATATGCACATGTATGATGAATTATGTACTTTAAATCTTCATTGATTTTTAAAATCATCGGTTTTGAGCCTAAAGCTTCTCACTTTATTACTCTCTATAATCCATCTCTCACTCTTAAATACTTAGGTCTTATAGCCAACCATGTAACATGAGTAGGAGTTATGTTATTGGATTGATTTTAAATAATTCTTGAATGATATTGTCATGAAACAGCCATACCAAAAGCGTGAGGACGAGTGAATGATTTTGATATATTGCTTAATACCCTCATATAAGAGCCCTTTACGATTGAAGCATGGATAAGGCACAGACCTATCTACCCTGTGCTAAAATTGAACCTTTTGTTAGAAGAATGACGACAACAAAGATCATCATAGTGCTTGGTCATGAAGGCTTAGATATCATCTCAAACATCAACTATTCCAATACTTAAGCTGTTATGTGAAGTCAATGGTTTTATTGTTTTCTCAAATAGATATGTCAAGCCAAGTGATTGTATAAAGTCTTGTATGTTGAAATGATGACTCTTAGTGCTTAAAGAAAGTTATACTCCCTCGGTTCCTTCTTATAAGACCCAAATTAGAATTAGTGCTTGGTCTTTCTTTGTAAGAACTAGTCTTTGAACATAACTCTGCTCTCTCTCTCTCTCTATAATATCGATCCTACTCAAAGTTTTAAGTTGAACCAAAATTATTTTATTATACTCCCTTGGCATACAAGTTTAGCAAAATATGTATATATAAAAGAAAATTTTAACTATTTGATAAAATTATTTTTGTTGTTTGGTATTTTCGAAATATAACATGCGAGATAAACATCATATACAGTTGAAAACTTGACGTGATCTTGTATGTTCACAGGTTCCCCAAAATGGATCGAAGTGAATGATAGGAAAACGCTCCACGATGTTCTGAAAGAGCCTAATTTCATCATTCCTGGGATCCCAGGTAAAATGTTGTGGCTTTTTCATCATTGATTTTCTTTAGAATTTCCTCTGACTGTGATGTGTTTGCAGTCTTCTATGTTGTTTCGAAGCAATCCAGCTTTTACAGCAAGTTCAAAGCTGGAAAGTGGGCTCCTCCAAGTGTATGAAGGAAGCAACAAGCATGGTTTAAGAGTTAATTGTCTCAAACTGCATGTCTTGAAGATTGCTCCAACTTTTTGGATTTCCTTTTAAACTAGAGTTACCTTCTAATTATTGCAATTGTTTGGTGAGTGAAAGATTTTAGGCGGGTCTAGAGTGACGATGATAGTACTAGAATACAAGAAACCTCCCTTGAATGAGTCTTTTTCTTCTCTCTTGTAACCTAGTCAACAAAGTATAATCTTATATTATATAGCTTGTATTTTTTTGGTACATGTACAATTTGGTAAGTTTTGTTATAGACTTTTATCAAGTTTCTATCTGCAGAATGTCCCTTTTACTTTCTCACCTGGACACATCTTGGGTGGGTATAATCACTCTACAGTAAAAAAAAAAGTCATCCAAGTTGGTTAAAATGGAACTTCAATGACTATTCTAGACCTATCATAGATTGACGTCGTCATATGTTAAATAGGATGATATATTAATATACATGACAGTTATTTAATAATCATTGTTTTTTTATAAATATATAATCGGGAACAATTTAGCAGCAGGAGATGATGTATTATATGTAAGAGTCATTTAGGTCAGAATAATTTATTATAGTAAAAAATATAACATATATAAACTATTGGAATTTATTCGAATAACTAAAAATTCATAGAATGTTGCAAACTTTAGATAAATGACTTATTTTAATTTATCTATTGGAATCTAAATTTCGAAACATTGAAAAGCTTTGCTAGAATTAAGCTTTTTATAATCAATCTATCTATAAATTCCAAATCCACTGCATAAAGAATTGTCATATCCAAGTGACATGTGAAGACAACATTAACATGCATGTCTTTTTGAATTCTGCAGTCACGATTGACTCATAATCACTCATGCATCGCAAGAACACAACGGAGACATCCTCCTTCATGCATGAGATCAAATGCCTTATTGATCTCTGCAAGAGCCAAACTGTGGGTGATGTACTCATCAACCTTGATTTCCTGCAAAAAATGAAAGCTTATTATATATAATATGCTTTTCACTTTCCTACAACAACATATTAAAGCTTAACACAAAGGCTAGTTCAAAACGTTAACCTTGTTCATGTACTTTTCTACGAGCCAAGGCACTTGTGATCGGCTCTTGAAGCCACCAAATGCTGTTCCTTTCCATACACGCCCAGTCACCAACTGGAAAGGTCGAGTACATATTTCCTCACCTGATGCTGCAACCCCCACAATAACTGATGTCCCCCAACCCTGCAATTTATCAACTCCATGTTTTAGTCTCTATACAAACAACTATTTTATGTATTAGTTTTTGTCATGTTTAAGTAACTTTGTAAACTTTATAGATGTTTTCAGAATGTCACCAAATTAAATTTGATGATGTAAAACTATAAAAAATTTTCTGATAATTGTTAAATTGACAAAAAATGAAGCTAAAAATGGTTTCACCATGCATGGCGATATATAATACGTGTCAGAAACATCTTCACTTTTAAATTTCTGACCGTTTAACAACTCTACAAAAACTTTGATTGTTAAACAACAATATATCAAAAGAGTTTATAGCGGTTTTAGAATATCAGTTTTATTTTTTATGCTTTATTATTTTAGTTTACTTTGTTACATTTCGATGTTCTAACACCATCGAATTCAAATTCTAGATGTATACAGCTAGAAACTAAAACTTAGTTTTAACAAACGGTAAGACCAAAAGATAAAATAATTTCTTGAACGCGGACTATAAATCGTAAAATTTCTAAATGTTTAAAAAGACTAATTGATTAGTAAAATCTATTTATTTTTACATCTATCATGGTATAATGCATGAGGCATTAGACCAAAAAATGAGGTAGCACAATAGCAGGCAAATAACAGCACTCACCTTATGGCAGCATTCCAAAGCAGATCTCATCACTGAGACATTTCCAATGCACTCAAAACTATAATCAACACCACCATCTGTGAGATCAACTATGACCTGCTGAATTGGTTTGTCATGTTCTTTTGGATTAAGAAATTCGGTGACTCCAAAGTTCTATGCTGCAAGTAATGTAAGACCAGTAAATAAAAGAAATAATGTACTAATAACATGAAGGCTTTAGCATGTTGTGTAGAAAACTGAATAAAACCAAAGCTGAAAATAAACAACAACGTGAATCAGCACATAAGAAGAAAAATAATGAAGCAACAAATATAACTACAACCCAAAAGAGCAAAGATATTCAGATAATTATTTAGAGCTATTATTCAATTGGGAGTGATATTCAAAAAATGAAATCATCTTTATCCAACATAGGCAAAAAATTTAGTTACTGCAGCTTTAAAGACACACTCATGTCAAGATTATGTCAATAAGCTTTATGGTGTACCTCGTTCAAACTTCTTGCTATCAATATCTATGCCAAGCAGCTTTTGCACCCTCTGCTGCCTGTAAGTGTAAATTTTGAGTCACGACTCAAAATGGAAGCACCAAGACCAAGCACAACTTGCAAAAGATGACTACTGTTATTTTAGAAACTCACAGCAAGCCCAACAGTTCCAAGGTCAAAAATAGCAACAATTGACCCCGGTTCCACCTTTGCAGTGTTCCAGACAGCTCCAAGCCCTAAAATGTCAGATAAAATAATTGAATTGGGCATAAAATATAAACTAAACAACGGTAAAAAAAAAAACTACACCTAAGCAAGGACCTATATTAAGTAGCAGAAATAAATATTAAGGCCTATATTATGTTCAGTTTTTTATTTATAACAAACTGAAATTAGGACCAATAAAATATTGTTTTTAGAACTCAAACAAAATGGACGTGGTTAATTTTCAGTGAACCAAGCTAGGAGAGTAACATCACAACATATATCGACTGATGAAACTTCTATATTCATCCCACAATCTCTCCCCACTACATTTCATTCAGCAGCACCCTCTGTCACCTAAACCATTTAAACATATCCGAAATCCTTATATGAACAGTGATAAATCATGCAAAGTAGGGATGAACCACCTTCAACATAACAAGCAAAATGTAACAAGTGCTACATCCAAAAAAACTTATATGGGAGGTTCTCCAATTTCTTGAGCTAACTTTTGAGGATGGTTCCCCTCTTTAACCTTAAGATTGTTACATTCTTGTTTTCGTGGACAGCCAACCAATTTGAGAAGGGCTATCCATTGAGAGTTCTTACTGGTAAAAAAGATTGACTGAAGTGTCGATGAGTGAATTATGGTGATTGCAGTCATCGAGGATGCTCGCTAAACAGGATAATATTGTAATAAGTCCCACGTTGAAAAGGTTTCTTACCAGAAAAATCTTATAAGATGAGAAGTTCTCTGAACTCTTGAGCTAGCTAGCTTTTCAGGGATGATTTTGCTACTTACCCTTATGATTTTCTCAAAATCTAAACATAATTTTCATGTTACAAAAGGACATAGCATAACATACCAGTTGGAACACCGCATCCAAGAAGACAAACTTTCTCCAAAGGAGCTTTGGGGTCAATCTTCGCTACACTAACATCATGAACAACAGTGTATTGACTAAATGTGGAGGTTCCCATGAAATGATAGAGGGGTTTTCCATTAATAGAGAAACGACTCTTGCGATCGCTCAGCATGACCCCTACTCCAGTGGCAGCTCGAACTTTGCCACACAGATTGGTTTTCCCAGATTTGCAAAACTTGCACTCTCCACACTCAGCCTGGTAACAAGGGATCACATGATCACCAGGCTGAACTTCAGTAACACCTTCACCAACACTCTCCACAATCCTGTGCCAAAAACATAGTTAACGATTAAAAGTGCCAAAGAGTAATTTTTTTAGCATGTACATAAAAGCTTATGCAATTCACCAATGGGGGATATATACATGACAAAAACGAGAAAAAAAAAAACATTTTTTTAGTGTTTTTTTTATCTATATATAATACCCGGCAGCCTCATGACCAAGTATACATGGAAAAAGGCCCTCTGGATCCTGCAAAAGCAATTCAAGATAAACTCATGAGAAAAAAAACCTTCATGCATCAATCAAACATATAATAGAATTAACCCTTGTAGTGCATAAACCCACGTACGTAGAAACCAAAAAAGATCAATTTGTTTTCTACATTGAAACCAAGTTTATACCCAGAAGCAGAAAACACCAATCAAACCAAAAGAAAAGAAGAGTGAGACGAAATGAAAATAAGGGCACCTTGCCGCTCCACGTGTAAGCATCGGTATGACAGAGAGCAGTGTAGAGAATTTTTATCCGGACCTCTCCATTCTGCGGCGGAGCCACCTGAACGTCCTCGATGGTCAATGGCTTGTTGGGTTCCCAGGCCACCGCGGCTTCACGAAATTAAACGGTTTCAACGATTCACATATGAATTTATAAACGCAGTGATATAAACAATAACAAGAGAGAGAGAGAGAGAGAGAGAGAGAGAGAATCAGGGAGAAGAGAAGAGAAGAGAGGAATGGAACCTTTGCAGGTAATGACTTGTCCTTGAGTAGCCATGGAGAAGAAGAAAAAGGCGCTGATATAAATTCTATGAAACAAAGTATTGTCAGTGTGGCCGTCTATGATACGATGTATCAGATTCTTTCGGGATTTATATACGAGGTTTTATACATCAAATATATCAGATACTGACACTGGGGCCACTCTCATGAACTCATGTAATGTAATCACCTCTTACATTACATTCATGATATATTATTATTAAAATAAATTATAAAATTATTATTATATAAATAATTATCTACTTATTATTTTTCTATTTCTTATTGTCATGTATGTATATGTTGTATGCATTAAGGATTATTTAATACTTTTTAATGATCTTGCAAAACGAGTCTTAATATAAAAATCTCATGATTAAATACTTCATCATCTTTATTTTGGTAAGTAAAAAAAATGATCCTGTCAAATAAATAAAACTATTGATGTTTTGATTTTTAAGATAAAAGTGTATTTTTAAGAAAATAATTATTTATTATTATTTTTAACTTATTTGGACAAATTTATTTAGAAATTAGAAAAAAATACAAGAGAGGTTATATTTTTTTCCAAATAACAAAAATTTATATAAAAAAATCATTTTTAGCAATTTGTTTTGAACACAAACTAATGTGATGTGGAAACTAATAAAATATTTATTATTATTATTACCATTTCTAAATATTAAACCTATAAAATAATTAATATCATATATGATAAAATACATTTTTTGTCTTTCTATATTTTGTGAAAATTAATTTTAATATTTATATTTAAAAGTTAAGAAATTAGTCTTTAAATTAAAGAATTTTTTTAATCAAATTTACAAAAAAATATTATTTTATATTAAATTTAAATAAAATATATTAAAATTATATATTTTTAAAAGATAACCTTAAAATCAATTTAAAATATATTGATATTAAACAAAAATGACTTAATAAATATATAAATAATATTTGAATAATTAAGTCAGACTATTTAAGATATCTTTTTTTAAGATACAAGTATAATTTATAATTATAAATTGTTATATGATAAATTTTTAAATTTAAAAAAATCTATCATTATATATATATATATATATATATATATATATATATAATTTTTAATTTTTTTCACTGTGTTGTGTTTGCTTTTTTACCAAGAAACACTCATACGAAAAGAATGAATATTCTACATTGACATTGTGGAAAAATGTAATTGTTTATTAATTTTCATTGTTACTACAAATTTTATTGTAAAATGGTAGTTTTAGAAAATCAATAATGAAATTATAACATCACATAAAATCCGAAAAGCTAGTGTGTTTGAGGAGTAAAACTTGACTACTATGCCAAAAAAGAAATCAATTATAAATATATTGGCCATTTTTTTTATATATAAATGCAATGAAAATTTGAAAAAGTTGTACTATTTCAAATCTTGACGGAACAAAAATGGTTTGTTTTTATTAAAGTTAAGCAATTAAAAATGAAATAAAAGATAAAAAAAATTAGGAGGAATGATTTGGAGAGCGTGATAGAAAATGAGACAAGGTACAGTGAATGTCTTTAGTCTTAGATTTACCTGAACCCGAAAGGAACACGCGATACGATTCGTTTTATTCACATTCCTCACATCACATCACATCACATCACCTCACCATTGAAAGTGGTTGTTTGGTTTCAATGAGTGAGTTCTGAGTAGAAAGGAAAAAGATTGGGGAATTTCTTCTTTCAGGTTCTTGATATATAATTATATGGCAACTATGCGTCGTAATGCTACAAAGTTTTTTATTTCCTTTTACCGAACCATTTCCTCTTCAGCTCTTCCACCTCCTCCCGTTGTTTCTTCCCGAAGAGTAGTTGTTACTGGTAACTAATATTTCATTGTGTTTGAATCGCAGAATCCTGCGATTATATTTCATTTAATTTCTCTTCATTTGCTGATCTTTTAGGGTTAGGAATGGTGACACCTCTTGGTTGTGGAGTGGGCACAACGTGGAAGCGCCTCATAGATGGAGAGTGTGGGGTAAGGGCTTTGTCTTTGGAAGACATCAAGATGAATTCTTTTGATAAGGAAACTCAGTTGAGTACCTTCGATCAGTTGACATCCAAAGTCGCTGCTGTTGTTCCTACTGGAACCAATCCGGGTGAATTCGACGATCAAATTTGGCTTAATTCTAAGGTAATCTTATTGTTATCATTATCATTATCTCCAATAATGGTTGATGAGATGACATTCGCATTTTTATCGTAGAGAATATTTTATTCAGGGTCTCTCTGTAGTTGGGTGTGAAATTTTCTGTTTACAATTTTTGGATGAAATTGCAATACAGCAATTTGTACTTAAACTGGAATGCTTTTACTTATACATGAGGGATTTGAACTTCTATTATGCTTATTGATGTCATTGTAGTGCTGTGATTTCCCTTAGGACCATCGATCAATAGCAAGGTTTATAGCATATGCCCTGTGTGCTGCTGATGAAGCTCTCAAGGATTCTAATTGGTTTCCCACTGAGCAGGAAGATAAGGAAAGAACGGTATGCATTTTTTGCATTTGGGTAATCACAAATCATTTCTTTGACTACTACCTTGTAGCTTGTGTTTTAACTTCCAAAACTTTAGGGGGTGTCTATTGGTGGGGGAACCGGAAGCGTTAGTGACATCCTAGATTCTGCACAACTGATATGTGAGAAGGTCAGTAATATTTGATAATTTTAGTGAGAAGAACTTTGTTGATCGTGCTTTTAGTTGTGGCTGCAACATGACTTGGTAATTTAAATAAATTATATTACATTTGATATTTACTTCTTCTACCATGAATGCAGCGTCTTCGTCGCCTTAGTCCATTTTTTATCCCACGGATATTGATCAACATGGCATCGGGTCATGTGAGCATGAAATATGGTTTCCAGGTGAACAGACTACTTACTTTCTTCTGACTTTTATTCTACACTACAAAGTACAAATATGAATAAGCTCCTAGCCTCCTTCAATTGCTGGAGTTCTGGACAGGCAACTGCATTTTCATTTACTAACTTATACATGTGTGTGTCGTGGATTTTAAATGAAAATTATTTGGATTTGTAGAGTGATGTGCCTTTCCATAGAACAGATGTAGGAAATATATCTTCTTGCATCCCATTTTCTTCATCTTATAATAATTTCTAAGAAAAAAGATATTCCTTCATGATAATTTGGATGAGTAATTATATCTCCATCAGCTTTAAGAGATTAGGTGCTCAAACAAAAATGATATATCTCACTGCAAAATATTATTAGTTTATAACATATGTCAACAAAATTATCAGAAAAACGAGATAGTAAAGCTATTTTCAGAGCTATGAGAATATTGTTATGCTATGACCTTTTCAATCACTAATAATCCTGAGCAATGGAAGAACTTGTTTCTATTCCTTAATATAGGGACCAAATCATGCTGCAGTAACTGCATGTGCCACAGGATCACATTCTATTGGTGATGCAATGAGAATGATTCAATTTGGGGATGCAGATGTTATGTTGGCTGGAGGCACAGAGTCCAGCATTGATGTATTATCAATTGCAGGATTCTGCAGGTAAATTATGACCAATGCCCTGTGTCGTTTGTTATTATTGATCACTTTAGTAATCATTTGTCCTTTTATCCCTCTCATATTTTAAATCTGCTAATGGAAACTTGCAGGTCTCGGGCTTTGACAACAAAATATAATTCAAGCCCACAGGAAGCATCACGACCATTTGATAGTGGTCGAGATGGGTTTGTGTAAGTATAACGACATTGAATATTTGTTTCTCATTATAATCATATGTTTGTTGTCTGACTACAAATGATTGGTTTGTATGGTTTGTTTGTGTTGTTGCTTATATCAAAGTTATACTTTTACTCAGGATAGGTGAAGGTTCTGGAGTCTTGGTCTTGGAGGTTGGTTAAGAAATTTTTTGTTTATCATATTATATTTATAATATTTGACCTTTCTTAATTATTTTTTTCTCCTATCTTTTAGGAATTTGAGCATGCAAAAAACCGAGGAGCCAAAATCTATGCAGAGGTTCGTGGCTATGGGATGTCAGGTAGTTTGTTGCAAGATATAGGATTTTCTTCTAACCTTAATTTTATATTTGGCTGACTTCTTCCATGTGTAATTTAACTAGGTGATGCATACCATATTACTCAACCTCCTAGTGATGGGAGAGGTGCCATTTTGGCCATGACTCGTGCTTTAAGACAGGTATCCTTTATCTTCAAGTATTGTTTTGCATTTGTTATGCATCATTAGAGAGGTTTTCTGTTGACTGAACTGCCAACTTTGCATGTATACATGTCATGATGGTGTGTGACCTATTTTTTGTCAACTCTTTCTTTACTGTAGTACACGGTATTGGCATATAATGTGGAGGCATACTCCTCCCTGTTTCACTTCATTGACAGTCAAATAGGTACTCGCCAAAATTGGCCGTGGCTGGGAGGGATATTTACCCATCAAATGAGTTTAGGTCATCTACTAGTAGCTACCCATGAAATATAAGTTTGAGGATGGTTATCAATGTACACTTACACAAACCGTATCCTACCCCTTGTCATTTTTACTGCAAGATCAATCAAGTTCATGGGAAGGAAGGTTTTGCATTGTCACAATGAGAAGTGTCCACACAAGATGTCCAAACCATTATTATAATCAAGATTGTTAGATGCTTCGGTGCTTTTAGCATTATTATTTTAGAGCGATCCACAGGCCAATTTAGCAGAACTTAAGTCTTAATGGTTACAAATTAGATTCCTTTGCCATATTGTATTCTCGTTTGCTTTGTGCATTAGGCTTAGACACAGTCTAGATATACTCATTTTAAACGATTGTTTTTCATGATATGCAGTCAGGTCTCCATCCTTCTGAAGTGGAATACATAAATGCACATGCTACATCTACACCTTTGGGTAAGTGAAGTGGACCTATACTGATTCCAGCAATTTAAGCTTGAAATTTTTTGAATACTTCATCTCTGTGGGTTTGTGTTCTTGTCGTATATTATCTCACAAGAATCCTTTATATAGGCGATGCAATAGAAGCTAATGCTATCAAAACTATGTTCTCTGACCGAACAAATTCATCTGCTTTAGCCTTCTCCTCCACAAAGGTAAAGCAACGAATTATACACTTATCTGATTGACAGTATAATCTAAGTGTTGGTTGCTTCCTAGATGTTAGCTCTCACCTATGGCAGATGCCATTTAGTTTTTATTTTATTTTGATGGGGTTATCAATGACTAATTAAGACAATTTTTTCAGGGGGCTATCGGTCATCTTCTAGGTGCTGCTGGAGCTGTAGAAGCAATTTTTGCAGTTTTAGCCATACGACATGTAAGCAAAAAAAATTTATGCACTTGTATCAAATCAAGAAGTTGTGGGGGTAGGATTTTTGCACATAATGTTACTTTTGTGCATAATCTAGAGCCAGCCCCTGTATGTTTAATCTAATATGACGGTTTCTATGATATTCTTATAACAGGGAATTGCTCCATTAACTCTTAATTTAACTAAGCCAGATCCTGTGTTCGATCATGGTTTCATGCCGTTGTCTGCTTCAGAAGAAATGCCAATTAGAGTAGCTATGTCAAACTCTTTTGGTTTCGGAGGCACCAATGCGTCCCTACTTTTTGCTCATACTGATTCGGACTGATTAGATAGTTGCATCTCATATCCATTGGCATTAGTTGAGAAGAGCCGACTGATTGTGTCACGCTGAGAGAGATTAGTGGCCTGAAGTTCTTGGCAGCGTGCACGTAGTTGGAATTCATGTTCTGCCATGTACATTTTGACGCTGCTGTATTTATGCAAATTAGCTTTTGAATGCTATTAGCTCTTGGACTATATGCAGCGGAGCGCTGTTGATTGAACATTCATAGAACGGAGGATCCAATTCCAAATTCTGTTTAAAAATTTCAGTAAATTCCAATTTTTTTTGAAGTTACATTTCCACTTAAGTTTTGCCAACAGTTCTTTAAACACTTTGTTTAAGAAGATTTGGTTTACTTGTAAATTTGGTCTTTATATTTTACAATGTGTAATTTTGAGCTCCAAGTTTTTTATCTGTGATTTTGGTTTGTTTATTTTTAGTTATAAGTAACTTTGGTTTCTAAATTTCTCTTGACATAATTTTATTCAATTAGGGAAAACACTCCAACTAATCTTTAACTATTTGTTCTGAGAAATAATTTAATAGACTTAAGAATTCCCGAATCTATTCTGATTTACTGAGTAAGAAGTTTTAAGATATTTGTACTCAACAAGTATTTTTAAGTTATCGTGCTTTTATTCTTGTTCTTATGAACAAATCAAAACCTCCCCTAGTTGGATGGTTCCATTCCCATTGAGGCAAAAGTGCATTAAATGATTTCGTTGAAAATCATTTTGGCATGATGTGATTGGTAGGTTATTAAATAAGGATACCAAAATCCTTATATCATAATAATTCAACCTCTCTCTAATCCCAAAGTTTCCTTTTTATCTTGTCTGGAATCTCACCTTCATGTAACCAAATACAACCCAACACAAACCTAGTTTTTCTCGTAGTGTTCGACTGTGGTCAACTTTATTTATTCTCTTCTTCAACTCCTTCCTATTCTTCCATGGCTTCAGATTCCAATTCAAATCTTAGAATCACCATTGAAAGCAATCCTCCAGAGTCACGTCTAGCTGAATTGAACATCAAGTGTTGGCCCAAGTATGCACGCATGCTCTTTCTTCCTTTTCATCTCTCTTTGTCAAGCTCTTCCTTTTATTATTTTCTTTTTTCTCTATTTAGATTCATAACATCCATGTATATATTTTAACTTTCCATTTATTCATGGTCTCTTTTTTCTTTTTCCTTTTGATGATGGGGTTTAAAAAAAATGAAAAATGAAAGATGGGGTTGCTCTCCAGGGAAGTACCAATTAAAGTTTGATGCTGAAGAGATATGCTATTTGCTGAAAGGGAAGGTGAAGGCATATCCAAAAGGGTCATCAGAGTTTGTGGAGTTTGGTGTTGGAGACCTTGTCACCATCCCAAAGGGACTCAATTGCACTTGGGATGTCTCAGTTGCTGTGGATAAGCATTACAAATTTGAATCAACATCATCATCATCATCTTCTTAGTTCATGCTTTGAATCACTCAGCAATCACCATTGTATATTGTGATCAATTAGTTTAATCACCACTTTCATTCATCAGATTATGATTTGTTCTTATTCGTTACAGTTAACTGTTTAGTATTTTGTTGTGGGGTTGTTTGGTTTTGCTGGGAATTAGGTGGTTTTAGTCAAAGGAAGAACCAATCAGTCAAAGAGTTAGATATTTGTTGGATACAGTTTTTAATGTTTCTTTGACTCATCAATCCGTTGCTTCAGATTTTTTTCCTCATCCCAAATTTTGTATCTTATAAAAACATTCCTCTATTTATTTATTTTTTTATAACGAGTATTTTGAAATTAAAAGTTCTGTTTTTACATTCTTAAATATACATTCCCAAGTCTTTTTTTTTTTTTTTTTTTTTTTTAAAGTGAAGATTTTATTGGTACGAAAAAAATTACTATCTTTACTTGCTTATATCTATTAATCGTAAAGCCCAAAGGAATTGGGCTTTATAGAATGATCTTGCGAAGAAAACAACCTACGTTTGCTATTCTCTCTCTCTCTATATATATATTTAATACTTACATTTATAAATATTAAATAAATTATTGAGGATATTTTTTATTCCTATTCTATTTTAAATAAATTTTAATATTTATTTAAAAATCATTTTTAAAATAAATTAGAAAAAAATATTTAATAATTATAATTTAACTATTTTAAATCAAATATAATAATATTAATGACTAAAAATTATGACAAAAGTTGAAACATCATTTTAATATAATAACTGATAAATATGTGAATATTAGTAATCAGAAAAAAAAAACACTTTTTTTATTATTTTTTTCGTTTTTAAGAATTAAAATTAAAATATTCAAAAATGTATTAAACATTTTTTCATTTTATAAAAATAAAAACTACAAATTATTTTTAAAAATATTTTAAAAAATAAAATTTGAAATGTTTTTATTTTTATTTTTGCTTATAAGATAATATTAACTACTCTTTTAATTAATATTAGTTTTCTTTTTTATTCAATTTTTAATTAATTTATATATCTATATATTATGATGTAAAAATAAGAAAAAGAATAAGTAACAATCTCCATTGAGGTTTAACAATACAAATGGTTGTTTTATATGTTAACTTTGTGTTGTATAAGATGAATGCTTCATTTCATATAAAATATTATGACTTGTAAACTCATCAAAATAAAATAAAATATAAATAACTGTACTTTTTTTTATCTTGGTTAAATATAGTTTTAGTTTTAGTTTTTGAATTGTTTAATTAAATTTCAAATTCTATAAAATATATAAATTTAATCATCATTCCAATTTGTAATGGTAAAAAAATTTATTAGATATTATGTTTAAGTACAGGAAAATATTAAGTTCACATATTTTTTAAAGATAAATAATAATTAATCAATTAAAAAAATATAAGAACAAAAATAAAATTTAACAACAAAAATTGCAAAAATTAAAAACATAATTTTTCATTAGAATATATATATATATATATATATAATTCACTTAAAATTATACTTTATCATTTAAAAGAATATAATCTCATAACATCTTTGTTTACAATTGTAAATAATGTAAGTTTCATAAAATATAAGTTTGAAGAGAACTATTTATGTAAAAATATCTTTAAATTTTAAAAACTCATATATATATATATATATATATATATATATATATATATATATATTCAAATAATATGTTTATTAATAAATAAAAAAACTATTATAAGAACTTTTATTGATAATGTAATAATATATAAAAAGTTACTTAATGTAATCAATAAAACTTTTACACCCTGTTTGATTGAAAGACTGTTTAGACCGACATAAAAGAAGGAGAAGTTGTGTTTTAATAAATAGATTTGTGTAGAATGAAAAGAAGAGAAAGGCAGGATTCCTTTCAAGCTCCTCCCTCTCTCATATGGGAAGAAAGAAGAGGAAAGTCACGTCGAAAAAGGGAAAAAAATGAAGCTGCCCCTCCCTAATTCCATCATAATTATTAAATATTATATTTAAATTTATTTGTATGATTAATTTTTTTTAATTTTTTGATTTATTTGATATTATAATATTTTTAGAAATTAATAAAAAATTAGGAGGATAATAAAAATCTTAAAAATTATATGTATATAAGAAGAAATAATATTTTGATGTAAAATTATATATATATATATATATATATATATATTCTAAAATATAATTTATATTAATTACTATAATATAAAATATATATTCCAAAATATAACTTATTTTCATTTATATATATATTATAGAAATTAAAATAAATTATATTTTAGAATATATAATTTTTCAAATAATCGAGATTTTAGATAGCGGTTCTAGAACTAACCGCTATTAAAAATATATATTAGATAGCGATTAACATGGAACCGCTATTATATGTTACTTTTAAGAGCGGTTAAAATGTTAACCGCTCTTAAAAGTGACACATATATGATAGCGGTTCCACTTTAACCGCTCTTAAAAGTAACATATAATAGTGGTTCCACGTTAACTGCTATCTAAAATCTATTTTTAATCGATTATATTTTCAAATAATTGATTATAATCGATTATTTTTAAATAATCGATTATATTCGATAATTTTTTCAAATAATTAATTATAATCGATTAGTTTTTTAAATAATTGATTAGAATTGATTAGTTTTTCAAATAATAGATTATAATTGATTAATTTCTTAAATATATATTAAAAAATTATAAATAAAAATTTATAATAAATTAAAATTAAAAAAAGTATTTATCAATTATATATTATAAAAATTATAATTATATAATTAAAAATCATATTTATAATTATAACTTTAAAAAAAATTATAACTATAAAATTAATGTTAAATAAATTATATAAATTAGTATTATATATAGATATATTACTTAAATTAAAAACTTTAAATTAATTATATATATATATATATTTATTTTTTTGCATAAATTAGAATAATAATTATCAACTTGAAAATAATTTATATTTAATATATATATATATATATATATATATATATATATTGTAAAATATAATTTATTTTAATTTCTATAATATATATATATATATATATATATATATATATATATATATTTATCATATATTAGATAGCGGTTAACGTGAAACCACTATTATATGTTACTTTTAAGAATGAGTTAAAGTGAAACCGCTATCATATATGTGTCACTTCTAAGAGCGGTTAACACTTTAACCGCTCTTAAAAGTTAACATATAATAGTGGTTCCACGTTAATCGCTATCTAATATATGATAATATATATATATATATATATATATATATATATATATATAAATATATTTAGAAATTAAAATAAATTATATTTTAGAATATATATATATATATATATATAAATATAAATATATTTAGAAATTAAAATAAATTATATTTTAGAATATATATATATATATATATATTAAATATAAATTATTTTCAAGTTGATAATTATTATTCTAATTTATGCAAAATATATATATATATATATATATATATATATAATTAATTTAAAGTTTTTAATTTAAGTAATATATCTATATATAATACTAATTTATATAATATATATAATTTATTTAACATTAATTTTATAGTTATAATTTTTTTAAAGTTATAATTATAAATATGATTTTTTTAATTATATAATTATAATTTTTATAATATATAATTGATAAATAATTTTTTTAATTTTAATTTATTATAAATTTTTATTTATAATTTTTTAATATATATTTGAGAAATTAATCAATTATAATCTATTATTTAAAAAACTAATCAATTCTAATCTATTATTTAAAAAACTAATCGATTATAATTAATTATTTGAAAAAATTATCGAATATAATCGATTATTTAAAAATAATCGATTATAATCAATTATTTAAAAATAATCGATTATAATCAATTATTTGAAAATATAATCGATTAAAAGTGGATTTTAGATAGCGGTTAACGTGAAACCGCTATTATATGTTACTTTTAAGAGCGGTTAAAGTGGAACCGATATCATATATGTGTCACTTTTAAGAGCGCTCTTAAAAGTTAACATATAATAGTGGTTCCACGTTAACCGCTATCTAATATATTTTTTTAATAGCGGTTAGTTCTAGAACCGCTATCTAAAATCTCGATTATTTGAAAAAGTAATCGATTATTTGAAAAAGTAATCGATTATTTGAAGGAGGTAAGTCATGAACAGAAGTCACGGGCTGTACATGCAGAGGTCACGGGCTGTACATGTAGAGGTCACGGGCTGTACAACCAACTTCACGTGTTCACAGCTTCACGTCTTCTCTAGTTACAGCTGATAGGGAAAGTTATTGTATTATATAAAGCAAAGCTAGTCTCATAAGACTAGCTAAAAGACTCTATTCCATATGCCAAAGCTGTTTCGAGCCCTATAAACGTGGATCCATGGTTTGTCATACGTGAGATTCATTTGTTTGTATTTGTGTTGTAGGTTGGATCTTCGCCGGCGGCCATCAACTTCGGTGTGACCTTGTCCCACCAACAGCTTGCTTGGTATCTTGTCGGAGGAACACCCCAGGTATGGTTCTGTGTCTTCTCTGTCATGGTTGGAACCTCAAACTTGGTTGGTACGTTTGTTTTTGGAGTCTGTGTGCATGCATAAGAGTGTGTGTGACCATTCAGATTTGAGGTATAAAACATGATCAAACCTCCTCCACTCCAACAAAAAATGGGCATCATACGACCATGGTTTCTGACTTGTGCATTGGTTATGTTGTTGTTGCAGGCTATATCTTAGGGGCACCGTCAAGTTCGTCGTCAGCTTGTCCTACAAAGATCTTCGTTCATATCTTCTCCCAAGGTATGATTCATATGTTGTTTTCCATGGTTGCAATCTGAAACTGGTTCTACTGGTGTTGTACTCCATGCATGGTTGAGCTAAAAATTGGTAGCTACTGCATATGCATCTTGGAAGCAAAAACTGGGAATGATGGAAGCAAAAATTGGAACGAAAAACTGGAACTAAAATCCCTGTTTTTGCAATTATAATTATTATATGGAAATTTTGAATTTTTTTATATATACTAAAAAGAAAAAAATAATTGAGAGATACATGAAAAAAATTTAGTAAAAATGAGGACAGACACTATTAATGCATAATTAAATAAGGAAAAAAAGTTAAATATAGTTATATTTAAAAAATAAATTTATTATTTTTATAATAAATGGAGTATGTAAAATTGAGAAAAGAAAAAAATTTATAAAAATGAGAATTTGTTAAAAAAGAAGTAAAAATATTAGAGGAAAAAAATTATTAGTAGTTTTGTAAATAATTTTTGGTTTTGTGATACTTGGTTTGCAGATGGCAATTTTGAATTACTTCCATTAAACATTAATTATATATATATATATATATATATTTTTTTTTTTTTTTTGCAGATGGCGGACAAAAACGTCGAGGTCATTGGTTTAGACAATGACGATATAGATACTTGGTCCGGATATAAACATAATTTCACATATATAAAGTGAGATAAAAAAGTGAAGCGAAGTAGGAGCGATGACAATTCTTTGTTTGATAGCTTACGGATTAAATATGTTGTCTATGGTAACTTGTAGTAGCGGTAACATTAGGGACTTTATTTCTGAAAAAGAACGTCGTCGGCACGAGTTGATGTCATACCTTATTCATACTGAACAATCTCGTGACATTATTCGCATGGGACCAGAGGCGTTCATTAACTTGTGTCAACGAGTAAGGACAATTGGATTAGTAAACGATGGGTTACAATCAATAGTGGAAGAAGAAGTGGCTAAATTTCTCCATATTATCGGACATAACGTTAAAAATCGAACTGTTTCATTTTTTTCCATCGATCAGGTGAAACCGTTAGTCGACACTTTCATAACGTGTTGAATGCGATAATAATGTTGGAGGAACAATTAATTGTTCAACCATCAGGAATGGATGTGTGTCCGTATATATTAAACAACAACCGATTTTACCCATACTTTAAGGTAATCTACTTATCAACTTTGTGTCTATATAACATACACATAGATTGTCTAAACTTTAATGACAATAAATTTTTTTACCAATTAGGATTGTTTAGGGGCAATAGATGGAACTCATGTTCGAGTTAAAGTCGCAAGATCCGATGCCCCTCGTTTTCGTGGAAGAAAAGATTGGCCAACACAAAACGTATTTGTAACTTGTGATTTCGACATGAAATTCACATATGTTCTAGTAAGGTGGGAAGGAATAGCATCTGATTCAAGAATATTAAAGGATGTTCTTACGAGAGAGGATCGTCTTATCATACCACAAGGTTTATTATTTATAACGTGGGGATTTTGTGTATAGTCAACTAGTTTAAATATTCTAATTAGTATAACTTCAATGATTTTAAATAGGTAAATACTACTTGGGGATGCTGGATTTATGTTAAAAGCAAACATAATGACCCCTTATCGAGGCATTAGATACCATCTTAAAGAGTATTCTCGACGAGCTCCACAAAACCCCCGAGAATTGTTTAACCATCGACATTCGTCTCTTAGAAATGTAATTGAAAGAACATTTGAAGTTTTGAAGAAAAGATTTCCTATAATAGCTAGTGGAACAGAACCTCATTATTCATTTGATACAATGACGAATATAGTCCTAGCATGTTGCATTCTACACAATTTTCTTTGAGGGATAGACAACGATGAATCACTGTTAGCTGAAGTGAATCGAGAGTTGATGGAACAAGATGTGGATAATATGTCGACTCAAGTTCGGGAAGAAGATTATAGGGAAGGGTCAAACTTAAGAGATACTATAGCAAATTAAATGTGGATAGATTATCAAAGTCATTAGATTTTGTATGTAACAATATATTTAATGAGATGTACTATTGTTATTGTTGAAATACGATTACATTACGATTATCTACTTATAATAATTATATGTTGGTATCGTAATTACATATATTATCTTTCCAATAGGTTTAAAATGAACAAAGGAAAGGATATTGCATCGAATTCGTCAACTGTAGTGCGCGAGTTTACAAAATGGACTAATGACATGGACTTTCGGTTGTTGACTGCTATGCTTCATGAGGCAAGGTTGGGTAATCGGGTTGATGGTAGTTGGACAACCAAAGCATATAATAATATAGTTGAATCCCTAAGACAGTCTGGATTAATTGGTATAACTAAAAATAATGTTAAAAATTAACAAAAAAGTCTTAAGGATAGATGGCGGGAGGTCCACGATTTGTTTCATGGATTTAGTGGATTCGCTTGGGATGATATCACAAAACGGTTTATGGCTGAGCAAGAAGTATGGGATGACCTAATCAAGGTACTATTATATGAATTATCATTTGTTGATATAGCAAAACATAACAATTACGAGTGTTAACCATTCTCATTAATTTGTAGGCGAAGCCTTCTGCAACTAAATGGAAACTGTCAACTATAAGGTATTATGATTTGATGGAAGAATTGTGGGGTGCTGATCGAGCCACTGGACATATGGCAAGAACTTCGCGTCAGTCCCGAATGAATATCAGTTCTCGAAGGGCAACAGTCGACTTGAACGTTGATGTGGACCCCACACCAGAGGAGCAGCCATTTCACTTTGGCTTTGATGCAGGATTTGATACAACTTATCGATCACCTCCACGCATGGGTTCCGACAGTCCTGCTGAGGGTGCTCAGTCAATGCCAACTGTTGCGTCTACTGGTTCATGTGGAACCTCTTCATCTCGGGGCACAAAAAGAAAAGCGCCTATGATTGATGTGATGGAAGGTCAATTTGACAAACTAACAATGAGGCTGGACACATTTACAGATTACCTTGGGCAAGGTAATACATTGACCCAACGATTATCTGACATAGCTGAAAGACAGGTGGTCGCCATTGAACGCAGAAATGATTTAATTAATGAACAAGTTAATGTGATGAGACGATCATCAATATTTCAACATTCCGAGTCAGATATATGGGACATGTTAGTCGGCATGAACCTAAATGACGAGCAACTTATGCTTCAGTGTTATAATCATTTGTGTACTCACGAATCACATGTTAGACGATTTTTTGGCTTGCCCTCACATCTTCGTCTCTCCCAGTTGTTCATGTTCTTGGGTGGAAGTGATTGAATAATCTGCTATAAAGACCTCAAAATACTTTAAGATTCATTGAGGAGCTCTTCGATCACAATGAATTTGGCAGACCTACTCGGCAAATCTTTCGACGAGATACTGCTATTGAAGTACATTCTGACGAGGGAACTTCTGAACTCGAGGACTTGACTGCAAAGGATCGATAACATTATAATTATTTGTTTGATGAGCATTAGTAGTGCATACGTTTATAATTTTAGCAATGTTTGTCAAATATCTAATATATGTATTAATTAATATTATTTGATAATTAAAATTTATGACATGTAATTCTAATATATATATATATATATATATATATATATTTATATTTTATGTTGAAAATATAAAAATATGACAAAAATATATATTAATATAATTTTTAACTAAATAATAAAATATTTTTACTATTAAGTTTACATGAATTTTTCATTTAATTATTATTCTATTTTCACTATATTTTATATTTATTTAAAATAATAATTTACAATTATATTATTAATTTTCATAATTATTTGTTATTATTAGTCCATATTAATTATTATTTTATATTTTATAATTCTTTAATTATTAGTCAAATAATTTATTTAATATGTCAAAATTATTTTTTTATGGATATGCAATGTAAATAATTTTGTAATTGTTTATTTATATAATTTTTAATAACTATTTTAAAAAAAATTAATTTTTTAAATTTGTTTCCACTTACAAACACTTTTAAAAATTTTTTTCTTTCAAATATATAATCAATGTTAAAATATGGATAATTAATTAAAAAATTATATTTATAATAATTTTAACCTTATTTTATACACAAGGGTAAAATGGTCATTTTCTTAAATAATCAATTAAAATTATAATTTTTATATCTCATATCAATCAAATCACTCACAATTTTTCATAAATTTTTCTTTCACTTTCCATTTATCAAAACAACTTTAATTTCACCTCCATTTTTTTCAAATTCTTCCTTTTTTACACTCTCATTTCCACTCTCTCAAATCAGTCCAACCAAACATAGCATTAGTGATAGTATTGATGAGTGCATTAAAAGTGGTGATAGAAGTGCATTAATTACATTTTCATAAATTGTGACTCTATGCATTTATTATTTTTCTTCTTTAAAATTATTTAAATAAACTTTCTTTTTCATATTTTATTTTTGTTTTTGACAGTTTAAAGAAAGTTATTTCATTTTAAATTCATTTTGTAATACCAAAGAATAACTATTATATAAAGTACACATAAAAAGTATAATTAATATAAAAAATATATATTAAAATTTACGTTTTTTTTATTTACGTTTTTCTTTTCTGAATTTTCCTCTACATACATTAAGATTAAAAAAAAATACACATACACACACTAATACTGTATTGACAAAGAAATTTGCAAATGAAAACAAAAATTATGTAATACAACAATCAAAATTCAATGTGCATGTAACATTATTTAAATATTAATTTTGTTTATTATTCCATATTCATAGATTTTATATAATTCTCTATCTTAACGATTGTTTAAATAAGTTATTAAAGATAAAATATATCATTTTAATATAATCACACTTATTTGTTTTAATTAATTTTAATTGAGAAATTCTTATATTAATATGAATTTATTATGTAACATAATTATTAAATAAATCATTATTAATTTTACTTGGATAAATTTCTTTTAATAAATTTTAAAAAATATATTATAAATGATTTAATGAAATAATTATAAAAAATATTTAAACAACTTACTATAAAATCTTTCAATAAAAATTTATTCGAAACAATTAATATTTTAGTTAAGGATTTCATAACTTTATTTAAAAATACTCTAATATATTTTGTTTTTTATGAACTCTTATAAGTAATTAATACACATGTGTTTTTTTATATATTAAAGTTACAAAATAAATTAGTTCTGTTTATTAAGAATCCCATGTGAAAAAAATATATTTTTCTTATTGGGAGAAAAATGGTTAAAAATAATTTTTTAATACTATATATGTAAAATGTGTAAGAAAAATATTTAATTTACAAATTTATCATTTCTGTAATGAAAAATATCTAATTTCAAATTTACCAACAAAATTTAGAAGTTGTTTTTAAATATATATATATATATATATATATATATATATATATATATATATATTATGAACAATATACTTTTTTTTAAATTAAATAAATAAATTTATATATTTTAATTTTTTATATGATATTATTTTATTAATTTAAATTTAAATATTTGTAATAAAAATTTATAATTATATATTAAAATATAAATTATTAAAAAATACTAGTTTTTAAAAAAATACGTTCATAAAAAAATTATTACATAATTAAATTTATAATATAAATATATATTTATATTTTATTTATTATTTATTATTTTTAATTATTATTTTTAAAATAAACATTTTTCTTTTTTAAATCATTTTACTTCAGATGAAATGAAATATTTTTTATTTTATCTCTCATTTTTTTGTTTTGGTTAACTTTTTTCTTCTCTTATACTATATTTATAATATTAATATTCTCTTTTTCTTTATTTCATTACTTTTAACTATTATATATGTAAACAAATAATCATTGCATATTTCTATCCACTGTACATGTTTGTTAATTGATTTTTAGTTTATAATATAAATGACTATTAAGTAATATATTTTATTCAATTTATTTATAATTAACAAAGAAATAATTTAGATTAATATAAATATTTTAAAATAATTATATATATTAAAATGCAAGGTGAATTAATTTTTATAACATCATTATTTTTAAAAATATTTAAGATGACTTTTAACTAATTACTATACCAGTATTATTTTTCTTCAAAGTCCTTTTTTTAACCCATGTAATAAAGACTCCTCAATGATTACTGTGTAATATTTATAATTATAAAATAATATATTTTAAAAAAAATAATTAATATAATTTGTATATTAAAAATAATATTATATATAAAAAATAATATATAATTAATACAAAATAATTTATTTTAAAAATAAAGAGAAAAATAACATAAAATTTCATAAATATTTTTAAAAAATTAAATATAAAAAAATATATAAACAAACACTTTAACAGTTATGTTTCTACTAATAATAAGTAAATAAATAATATAATTAAGTTAATAAATAACTTGTGTAATAATTTAATGATAATAATAAACAATATAATAAATATTTTATCAGTTTTTTAAAGGTTAAATTTGTTAAGAATTTTTTTTTGTTATTTATAAAATTCAAATCATATTAGTTTTTTATTAATTATATTCTTACATATCTTTTATTTTTTAAATAATTATACGAATGTTATATATGTTATAAAAAAAATAAAAATAAAAATTTATAACGTAAAAGACATATATTTAAAAAAAAAATGAAGTAGCAGTTAGATGCGCACTTTGATCCATTTTGATTGGGTAATGAGATTATGAGAAAGAGACCCACACTGTTGTGTGGGTGCCGCGTCACATGGGATCATTTCTCTCTAGGGAATTGGGTCATTTGAAGAAGAAAAGAGGAAGTAGTAGAACTGTTTCCAATGACGACATGAAACGGCTTTTGATTTGTCCTTAACCCATTCTCCTCACGCACCTCAAAATAGAGTTCACTATCACTGCAACACTCACTAACTCTGTGTCTTACTACATCAACTCTCTCCTGTTGCGTAAACTCACTCATTCACTCACTCACAGTTGCAGTAAAATTCTCTCCTCTTCCACCATTTTTTTTTTCTCTCTAACTTCTCTCTGAACCTTTCTTTTCACGTAATCTTCTTCTTCTTCTTCTTCTTCGTGTATGAGACATGTTATCGGTGTGTTTGATCTCGTAGGTCTTCTCTTTTCCTGCATTTCCGGGATCTAGAGGCTTCCGAGTACTGAATCGATCGTCTTCTTCTGCATTCTTCTCTCTCCCCGAGGTTTTCCAATTCACATGCTCATTCATACTTCCCTCATCCTCACGCTACGCTCTCCAATGCGCTGCGTAGACTGTAACTGCCAAACGGTCGCGATTTTCCGCGAGTTCTGAGTTGCGTTTTATTTTATTACTGACGATGGTTTTGACGAACCTCTGTTATGGAGAGAGAAATGTCAACCTCTTGCCTCTTCTTCCTTCTCTTTGCTCTCCTTTTGCTGATTCTCTCTTCCCAAGGTATCGTTCGCTTCGTGTTTTCTGGCTGTTGCGCTGATTAATTAATTCGCATGCTGCTACTATTGTCCTCTCATGGATGATTAACAACTATACCACGAGTCTGTCATTTTTTGCCGCTTGTATTTGTTTGGGGAAAGTTTGGTTTCCGATCATTCAGGGTCGCTAGGCAGAGTGTGTAACAGTGGAAGGTAATCTAATAAGATTGAAGAATTAATTGGTTGGGGCTGAGCCGAACAGTGTTTACTTGCACCATAATTGTAACTACAAGTTACTAAATGGTCATTGGACTCTAGGCTCTGTGGGTTGATGTTGACAGTACCATAATTGTAGAAAGTTATGACTATAGCTTATGTTGGGAGTTCATAATGTGTTTAATAATTAGTTGGTTTCTTCCCATTTTGGTCTATTCTTCTCTGCTTGATTATTGCATCTCGAACAGCTTTTTTTAATGTTTCTTACGTACATTTCTTGTTTGACTGAATGTTCGGCTGCATAATTTAGTCATTCGAAGTCCTAGATAATACTTGTACTTGCCCCTCGTATATGGAACCTAATTCTTTCATGAAGCATTGCAATGTATATTGAATTTTGCCTATATCGGTGAATGAAGTATTTTGGTCTGTATGAATTGGTTTACACATAGACACTATTGACCATTTTAATCTTATGGTTGCATTCCACTACAGACGAATTTATCAACCTGATCCTACTGCTGATCTTCCACCTCTCGTTAAATTGGCTTCTTCTTTTTCTACTAATCTGAGAATTTGTCACTAAGCATTTCCAGCATGCTTCTCATAGAAGTTTAGACAACTCAATTCATTTCCAAATTCAATGTTTGCATTTCCTACTTTGGCATTCTCTCTAGAGTATAACTGATGCGAATCTATTTGTCATTACATTCTGGGGTAGGGATACCATTTGAATTCGAATTTGGCCTGAAAGAATATTGCAATGGTCTTTTGTGGTTTTTGTTCAAATGTGGCATGCGTTCACCTTTTAATTTTTTTGCATTTGGAATTTTTAGGAGAAGTCCTGTACATATAAGATGTATTGTGTGCACGTGCCTTGTAACTTGTAAGTGTTTGATCTGTGTTGATGTGTCAGAATCTGCTGTAGAGTAGAACATGAGATAGTGTCAGCTATTTTATTTTGGCTCATTTCTCTTTGTCAACATATATTTTCCTACTTCTCCAGTAATGTGCCTATACCAACCTTTCTCAGTCAAAGAAGTATTAGTTGAGCAATGCATTCTGGAACATCAGCTTTGTAGTGTTTTATGAAAAACTCACGACTTACGATTGAAATACTTGAAAATTTGAATGGGAATTAATTTAGGAAATCTATTGTTTATATCTTGGTTTGCAAATCTAGAGTCCATTATATGTTAATCTTTTGACAATAGTTTTATCATGATGTTTTAAATGCTTCATCTTTTGGAGTATTCAATGATTGAAGGCCCCACTGTAAACAGGTATTTTTCTCATTGCCTGTTGAACATAATATGTTTTAAATGATCAGATTTGCATATGAACAGACTTTCTCATTTTCTTGTTGTATTCTTATTCTTTCTCTCAAGTTTGGTTGGCAATTATGTCTTGTAAATCATGTTTTATTCATCAATTTTCTTTGATAAGGCTACCTTGATCTTCCAGTTATTCATCCAATTTCCCTGCATAGGTGTGTTTTGTGATCATTTTTCATCATGTTGGGTTTTGTACCAGACAGTTGGAGATTTTATACGTGTTTATATTTCCATTACAACATTGGAAAGGATGTGCCATGATGTAATAGGATTTTGATCTTAAAACAGTACTGGAAGCTGGAGTAAATTAATTAAGATGGTAGTATAAAACCCTTCCAATATTAAATAGGTTTCTTCTTAATGGATCCTATGCACTACTTTTATGTTCTTGAGCTCCAGTTCATATCAAATCACTTTGTAATTCATGGAAAGGATTTTAAATGGAAACGAAAGTCTTTTGCTTACCAGGCAGAGTTGGTTACATGAAGAGGATTGTGACTAATTCATTTATTTTATTTATTTTAAGAGATTCCTTCTACAAATTTAACTATGCCACTATCTATGACAAATAATAGGTTCTTTTTTCTGCAGTGAACTCAGTTTCTATGGATGTGCCATTTGCTTCATCTGAACAAGCTACAACATGGTCGCTTAAACCTCCTGTTCAATCTTCATCTCAAGGTATATTGTCATATTTTTAAATAAGTCTTTATACTTCATGTTTGCTATGACAAAGAATTAATGTTTTTTGATGTAGGTCCTATCATGACTCCAAGACCAAAACTTCCTCATTATCTCCATCATCACCACAGTAGGAAACCTTTTGCTGTGGCTCCATCCGCTTCTAAAGACCCAGGTATTTCCTAGATGTTTTACACTCTTCTTCTGCTACTACTTTTACCAGGGGCAGGACTATTTATAAAATCTCAATGGCTCTTTTAGTCAAGCAATATTGTAGTTAGTCCTTCTTTTTCCTTTATACAATTCCCTACATCTGTATTTGGTACTGTAAGTTGGCGAAGGGAATCAAGAATTGATTCTTTTATTTTTTGGTACTATGTCAAACATGGTAAGATAGTGTAAATAGGCATGATGTCAAAAAGTGGATTATTTGGAAGATTCTTTCTAATCTTATTTATTTGATGCTTCAGATTAAATTTTTTTCTTTGAAAATTAATACATTTACTATATTTGATGTTTTCTTTACTAAGTGAGGGTAAAAGTGCAATGTAGAAAAAAAAAGAAAGTATTTGGACTATATTTGTTTCTTATTATTTCAAGGGTTCTTATAGTCTGCTGCCTTATGGTATGATATGGCCTAAAAAAGGTTTAGTTATTATTTAATACACTGGAATAGAACTAAATATTCGTTATAATCGAAATTTCAAAGTTTAAGTTGGCATGAGTGAGGACTTCAATCCTTTTCTGATTAAATTACACAGAATTCTGTGAAATAGCATTCCCCACCTTGTTGTTATCTAATATGATATACCATAACACCATACACTCATTAGACAAAAATAAAATAAAATGTGGCAGCTTGTAGCCAAATCTGTACAGATCCATTCACTGCAACTCCTTTTGGTTCACCTTGTGGTTGTATAGTTCCCATGAAAGTCAGACTAGTACTGGGTGCACCTCCTTTGGTTGTTTTTCCAGTCATTACTGACTTAGAGATTGAAGTTGCATCCGGAACATATTTGAGACAGAGCCAAGTGAGGATAATGGGTGTCAATGCTGACAATGAAAATCTCGGGAGAACCGTAGTTGATATTGACTTGGTTCCACTTGGGGAAAAATTTGACAATAACACTGCACTTCTGTTGTATGAGAGATTTTGGCACCACAAAGTTCATCTAAATAGGAGCCTTTTTGGTCATTATGCAATCTTGTACATTGCTTATCCAGGTAGTTGTTTCATTTCTTCTAATGACATTTTACTTTATTATCATATGTTACTGCTTGAGACTAATGCCGAGGTGTCAGGTATTTCATCATCGCTTCCACCTGGAACCCTAATTGGGAGTGGTCCCCTGCCCAGTGATACTGTTGATTTTCTTCCAATCACTGCCACCTTCACGAGTGAGCATGATAAATTGACTCTTAGAACCATAATCATCATTGCTCTATCTTCTGTTGTACTCTTGTTGATTTTGGTTGGAGCATTTTTCATCATGTTGAAATGGTGGAAATCTAGGAGCCCATCAAGTACTATTGGCCCTTCATTCACATCATATCTAAATAAGAGATCCGGTATAGCTTTGAACTTTACTGTGTATATTTTGTTTTATTTTCATAACATAATTTTTCAGATGCTTATATAGATAGGAAGAATTTGTTGTTTGATTGCTAAGAATTTGTCTAAAATTATCATTTGTTAGGTTGAGTCAGTTCCTTTTGCAACTTTATTTCATAAGTTCGCTAAGTTTTCCTTACCATGTGCCATAGATTAGTTTGGCATTTATATTTCTTGGAAAAGTACTTGTAAAATATATTTTTGTATAACACTAGGTTGTGAAGGTTTGCCTTGCTCATTAATTAGTTAGTTTTGAGTCATAATTAAATTAGGTTTTTGTGATTTACATGAGTGCTTTTATATAAAACAGATTTTTATCCCCGTCAATATATACTAGTATCGCAAAGGGATATCACTTTCTTTTCAAAGGTTAGTTGAGTGACCTTTCTTACTGGGAGGAGATTCTTTGGAGGCAATCCTTTGGTGGGACTCTGCTTGTCCCTCAAGGATTCTAGGCCTGTTATTGGTACCTTGACTGGTAGTCTAGGACCTGGAGTAACATATCCTTATATCATTCTGTAAACTGTATCATAATTGAAGTGCTAAATGGATGGATTATGCAGGCTTGGAATCTATGTTGTCAAGCAGAATTATGAGCTCAAGATCTATGTCCCTTGTGTCCACTATTGCTGCTTCTATTCTATCCGTTAAAACATTTTCCTTTTCTGAGCTCGAGAAAGCAACAGATAGGTTCAGTTCTCAGAGAGTATTAGGAGAAGGAGGATTTGGACGCGTTTATTCTGGGACATTGGATGATGGAAATGTAGTTGCAGTTAAGCTGCTAACAAGGGATGATCAGAATGGAGACCGGGAATTTATCGCGGAAGTTGAGATGCTAAGCCGTTTGCATCATCGTAATCTTGTGAAACTCTTTGGTATATGCATAGAAGGGCGAAGGCGATGCTTGGTGTATGAGCTTGTTTGCAATGGTTGTGTTGAGTCTCATTTGCATGGTAATTGCTTATTTATTTCTTTAGTTCTTGGGGGGTGCCACGTGCTCAATTTATAACTAGGTCAATAAAATTATTTCTTGTTAATCATCCCGCAGGTGATGACAAGAAAAGCAGCCCTCTAGATTGGGAAGCACGGAAAAAAATTGCCATTGGATCTGCGAGAGGTTTGGCCTATTTACATGAGGATTCCAATCCTCGTGTAATCCACCGAGACTTTAAATCTAGCAACGTGTTGTTAGAAGATGACTTTACCCCCAAGGTTTCTGATTTTGGATTAGCAAGAGAAGCAGGCGAAGGAAATGGTCATATTTCTACAAGGGTCATGGGTACTTTTGGGTAAGTTATAGTTCCTTTTCACGACCTGGGTTTGAATCTGGTTGGCATAGCATGTGGGGGTGGATGTTGTGTGCGTCTAATACACTCATGCTGTATGGTTTTTCCATTTCTTTAACATTAGATAACATCATCAATATAATCTGACTGGCATATAGCATGTGGGGGTGGATGTTGTGTGTCTGATATACTCATGCTGTATGGTTTTTCCATTTCTTTAACATTAGATAACGTCATCAATATCATCATACAGTTATCGTATATGAGATTTTTTTTTCTTGTATAATGTTCAAGTTGTTGGTTACATTGGACTGGTATGAATGAGGCTATATAAGAGAAAATGACTCCCCTTGCAAATAAAAAAGTTAAGACATTAAATTTGTCTTTCTACTTATATATTATTCAGCTTTACCATTTTTATTCACTACTCTTATCTAATGTTCAACTTTACCATTTTTATTCACTACTCTTATCTAATGTAGAACTTCTACTCATTTGAATTCTAACACACTCTCTCAAGTAGTAAACCCTAAACCATTTACTCAACTCACTCTAGATCAACATTATATTTTTTATGCCATTGTAAATTCCTTCCGTTCAACTTATGCCATTTCTATCTATTTAATTTTGCAGATATGTTGCCCCAGAATATGCAATGACAGGCCATTTACTCGTTAAAAGTGATGTTTATAGCTATGGTGTTGTGCTGCTTGAGCTTCTAACGGGCAGAAAACCAGTGGACATGTCTCAACCTCCTGGACAGGAGAACCTTGTAACGTGGGCTCGACCACTGTTGAGAAGCAGAGAAGGTTTAGAAAAGCTGGTGGATCCATCTTTGGCTGGAAAATATGACTTTGATGACATGTCTAAGGTGGCTGCCATTGCTTCCATGTGCGTACACTCGGAGGTCACTCAAAGGCCTTTTATGGGTGAAGTTGTGCAGGCTCTTAAGTTGATCTACGACGACACCATTGAGAATGAGAAGGAGGCCTTTTGGCATGAGTCGGATTTTGGAGGGGAACTTATATTTTCTGGTAGCAGTTGGTTGGATGGTGAAGGGGTAATCCCGAGATTAACTAATGGACTAGAATCTCCTCTCATCAATGTGGACTATTGTTCTGGTTCACTTGAAATGGAAAAGGGAGCATCAAGCTCGAATGCAGATGAAACATCTTTGCCAATCAGGCACGGGAATAGATCAGGCCCCTTGAGAACAGCCCGGGGTAAGCCATCCTTTAATAAGCTTACTCGAAGTCGGAGTGATCATGTGGTATCATTCCAAGCGTGTTTGGAATGATCAATTGATGATGGTTACTGGGTTTAAGCTTTCATAATACTTATCAATGGTTAATTGCTTAAGGTTTGACAATTCTTGCGTTTGTGAAATGTACAGTTTCAAACAAGCGCCCAAAGGGCTGATTTGGAGTTACTGGCTTGTGTAGGCTACATTTTTAGTGTTGGATCAGGGAAGGTGAAATTTGAGTTATAATTCTGAATTTCAGTAGTACTTATTTATTATACAAGGTGGGGTTTGTAAGGTATAGCCTAGTGTTCCATTCAAACCGGAGATACGTCCGGAGAAAACTATAGTTTCAATCAGTTAAACTTATTTATGGAAAAACAAAGGGGTTCATTCAATTTTTTGCTGTTAAACCTTATTTCAAATTTACTTCTGCTTCAATTTCAACTCATAAAACGAATATAGAATGCTTTTCTATACAACTTGAGAACCTCTGTTATAATTCTTCTGAGTAAAGAGTGTATAAAAGACTATACTTGTTTAAATACTTATTTTATAAATATATTATTAACATTTGATTTATATTTTTTAAGTTCTCCTTTTTTATTTTATTTGTTACATTTTTCACTTTTTTAATTCTTTCTTTTATTCTCACTCATTTTACATTTGTTTTTATGCTTCACCCTTCTTGAAGTACTGTGAAAACACTGTTTATACAAATCCAACTCAACGACATGAATAAAAAAAATCTGATATAAAGAGGGTATCTAGTCTTTTGAGGAGAAAACCTTTTCCTCTCTTTTTGGTCCATAGTGGGAAGATCATAATCTGAAGTGGGAGTTGCATAAATTCATTCGTTTGTCACAAGGAGTCAAAACATGGAAAGAATTAAATCCGGTGTTGTTTTTCCTGTGCCATCATCAATCATTTTTTATGGTGAATTCACTGAATCAATCAAAGCATTAATATTGCATATATTAAGCTTCAGAGTCCCCAAAGTAATTTCCTATTTACTCTTGTAAATTCTTAATAGAACCTGATTATCATAAAATTTATATTATTTTTTTCTTGAGATATTTTCTATTCATATAAACCTATTCTAAAATATCCTAACCTAATTTGATCTTGTTCTTTTAATTTAATCAGGAATAACATGTGTATTTTGACTGTACTCGAATCATTTTCGATACAATTCAATCTTTCTCGATCTAAGTCGTAACATAAATTCAACCTATCTTAATTTAATTTGATGTAACATACTTTAACCTTTCATCGTCATGTTTAATGTTAAATAATTTAAAATTAGAAAAAATTAAATTTAATATATTTAAATTTTTTAAAAAAATTATAAAATACCTTATTAAAAAAACTCTAATAAAGAACACCTTCATATTTATTTAAATTGATAATCTCCTATTTGAATATTATTATATATATATATATATATATTATTTTTTACAATAATTCATCCTTTATTAAATCAATAATAGTTAAAAAAATACTTTTAAAGAAAAATTAAAGTAATTTTTATCTATCTTCAAACACAATTGATCTCAAATATAATTTTAACAATTTCTTGAAGTGACGAATATTTACTATTAATTTGTCAATATGTTGGATCTTGACGTTCTTTTAAAATTTAAGGTTGAATTATATTCCTGTTGAATATCATAACAATGACATAAAATGAGATACTTTATAAAATAATATTTTAATTAATATTTTTATATTTGAGACTTAATTGACAGTTAATAAATTAAAAATATATATATTATATGATAATATTACATTTATCTATAAGATGTAAAAGATAATAAACAACTCACCAGACTTCCAAATTTTTTAATTATCAAACAATTCTAAGGCTCATTACTATCATCGTTATATATTTTCAAATTCATTTAATTATTATATTATATATTTCAAAATTATTATTACAAGAAAAGTTTTATACGTGATATTAAACTAGGATAGAAACCACTAGATATTTAATATTTATAAAGATGAGAATTCTAAATTGTGATTATCAAGCAAGTTCTAGATTCAATATTATAATATTTAAAAAATATATTTATATATACGAAAATGATATTTTCTAATAAAAGAACTTATATATACTAAATTTATATAAAAAAAACAAAAATATAAATATAATTTATTAAAAAAAACAAAAGATAAATAATTTATTAAAACATATGTTTATATAGAACCAAATTATCAAATTAATAAATATTATATAAAAAAAGTAAGAAAATAAATTAGGATTCAAATCATTGCTTTTGTTAAAATAATTTTTAAATTATTTCTTAACAGTTAAAAAATAATTGATATTTTTTTAATTATATATTTTTATTAATAATATTTATGTCTCTAACAACGATCGTATCATACTACTTTATTGTTGTAAACATGTTAAAATTATTTTTCGTCTTGTCTTATATAAATTTCTTTTTGTTGTTTTCATTTTCTCCTCTCCATCCAAATCAATTTTCAAACTATAATTATTAAATAAGTTTTTATTTTTAACTTATTTTAGAAAATAATTTTCTAAAAGCTCTTTTGAAAAAAAAAACTAAAAATTATAATTAAAACAATAAATCTTAAATACCCCTTGAAAATAAATTTATTTAAACTAATCAACCACTAGTTATAGGAAGAAATGGAGAGGATAATCCTCCAACAAAATATTGAAAAAGAATCAAAGAGGAAAAAATAATAGTTTATAGAAATAATTTGCAACTCTCATATTTGTAAAAGTTAATTTCTATTCTCCTCCAAATGTATAAGAATTCTTCGTATAGGTTAACCTGCGAAAAGAAGGGAAACAATAATTTATAGAACATGGAACTAAGCTAGGAGAAAGACTAAATTTTACTAATTTTTTAATTTATATTCAGTTTAATGTATTTATTGTTAGAGAATAAGATAAAAGACTCATTTTCTCTTTTTAGTTCTGTTAGTCCGTTGCAACTGACAAAAGTTTTTCTTTCTTCTGTTTTAGTTAATCTTCCTGTTGTATAAAAGCTACTTTCATCTGCCTTTCTCTGATATAGAAATTAAGCACCTCAATTTTGTTTCTGTTTCATCTCTTTATCTAAATTTCTATATGGTATCTAGAACAAAGACGATCTTAGGGCATTCTTGAAAAGTTGTGGGCATCAAGCGTGTGATCTCAGGAGAAGTGCGTTATACTCCAAAGTTGTGATTGGGTCCAACGTTGATCGGGAATTTCTGATGGCAGGGTTAGGAGGGATGATGCAAGGAGCCTTGCTAGTGTTCGATGGCAAATCTTTTGATGACTGGAAGATCAAAATACAAGCGATCGTTGGTTATCAAGATGTTGCAGAGGTAGTTTTTTATGGATTGTCGGAGTTGGGGATGAAAGCCACTGATGAGGAGAAAAGAAACTACGAAGGGCTTCAGAAGCTTGATAGCGAGGCGCGTTTTCTTTTATACCAGTGTGTTAACGCGAAGGTTTTCAATCGAATTTTGAAGGCTGAAATAGCCAAAGAAATCTAGGATATCTTGGTTAAAACCTATGGCGATGACGATAAGAATGAAAGGGTGAAGATGCAGACGCTACGACGACAGTTTGAGTGTCTGACTATGAAAGAAAGCGATACGGTGGCAGATTACTTTGATAAAGTGTAGGAGCATGTCAATGTCATGCGTGCGTGTAGAGATAAAGTGTCAAACCAGTATGTTGTTGACAAGATCTTGAGGACTCTACCACCATATTCGATCATGTGGTGGTGGCCATAGAGGAAACTCGCGATCTGGAGACCATGGAGTTAGAAGAACTGCAACATTCATTGGAGGCTCGTGAGCATCGTATCAATGAGCGCAGACAAGTGTCAAGAACAGGTCCTACAGGCGCGGTCTAAATACAAAGCAAAGGGAAAAAGTGTTGGACAGTCTAGCAAGAAGAAGTTTAGCCATACAGACTCTCAAGAACAGAGAGGGAGAGGCTTATGTGACTCTGATAATCAGAGTCATGTTACTGATCAAGAAAAAGAGTGGAAGTTTGACAAACGCAAAGTCAGATGCTATAACTGCCAGAAGCTTGGTCACTTTGCAAGAGAATGCTGGCATGGAAATGAAGCTAAGATGAAACAGAAGAACCAAGTTAATCTAGCGCAAGATGAGTCGTCAGATTCAGAAACTGTGATACTTATGGCGAAAACCAATGTAGATGATGCAGAGGGGTTCTCTTGGTACCTGGACTCAGGTTGCTCAACACATATGATGGGAAGAAAGGAGTGGTTTGTGAAGATGCAAGAAGTAGCCCATGGAAATATAAGGTTTGCAGATGATAGAAGCCTCACTGCGGAGGGGTCTGGCAGGGTTGTGTTGCGTGATAGCAATGGCAGGGAAGTAGTCATTGAGGAGGTTCTTTATGTACCTAGCTTAAGGACCAATTTGCTCAGCCTTGGTCAGCTTTTGCAAAAGGGATTCAGGATGAAAATGGAAGATAATTGCCTAAGTGTCTTTGACCAGCACATGAGATTGACTATTAAGGCAACACTTTCCCAAAATAGGACATTTCGTGTTGTCATGCATGTTGTAAACCATCAATGCTTCTCGTTGACAGAAAACAAGGCAGAATGGTTGTGGCACATGCGCTTTGGTCATTTGAACTTTAAGGATTTATCTTGGTTAAGTAAAAGTTCAATGGTTAACGGATTGCCACAAGTACAGATTCCTGAGACAGTATGCCAAGAGTGTGTCCAGTGCAAACAAACCAGGGGTAGTTTCAAGAAATACTTGCCATAGAAAACAAATAGCAAATTGGAAATAGTATATTCAGCGTGTGTGGACCTATGCAAACCGAAACTCCTGGTGGTAGCCAATATTTTGCTTTGTTCATTGATGACCTGACAAGGAAAGCATGGACGTATCTAATCAAGTAGAAGAGTGAAGTGCTTGACGTGTTCAGGAGATTCAAGGCAATGGCTGAAAGACAATGTGGGGAAAAGATTAAGCTACTGAGAACAGACAATGAGATTCAAGGCTATGGCTGAAAGACAATGTGGGGAAAAGATTAAGCTACTGAGAACAGACAATGTGACACTGAGGGCATAGTTCATGAAACCACACCTCCCTATACTCCAGAACATAATGGTACAACAGAAAGGAAAAATAGGATCCTGTTAAATATGGTGCGATGTATGTTAAAGAGTAAGTGTCTTCCTAAGTCATTGTGGGGAGAGGCGGTAATGACAGCCACTTACATCTTGAACCGGTCACCC